GTATAATATGAAGTGTTCATGATGATGAGGCAGCCGACTCCCTCCTCATCCATCCCGCTTCCCTGGTGCCTCCGCGATCGATAGTTCACTGACTCCAGCCCTTCATTAGAGCCGGTAGTGTTTTTTATTCCGAGGACAATGCGTCTGCTCGCGGACGCGGCTTTTGTTGAAAAATATTAGCAACAGAAAATAGTCAGGACTCAAATGACTACTGACTACCCGCTGGCTATAGACTACACACTGATACACACTACATTGTTTCATCATGATAATACTATGAATATGTTACAACAAGCACCTTCATTATGTAATTCTATTTATTTATATGATACCAGAGTCAGATATGTTTTATTTGCGTAAATCTCGGACCGCGGAATGCTATTAAAGATATAAAATAATATTACCGTCATAAACATGAAGCGGTTCACGAGGAGACTTAAAATATATATGTTGTACCTGTTGGAGCGTGGCCGGTAAACATTCAGAATGGATATATTAAGATTAGTGATTTAAAAAATCTACATCGTGAGTGAGACAGGTCAGAGTTGATCATGAAAGGTGTTCTTAACAAATGCTAATAAGGATAAAATCAATTAAGATATGTGAAATTAATATTGATGTTTTAGTACGCTTGCTATTAACTGTCTACTTTACAAAAATATAAAACTGATAATAATAATAAACTGGAGAGAGAAAGTTATTTGTTAACAACAAAAATACACAGTTGAAATATTTTGTACCGAAATTATTTTAACCGATCGTAAACATCCATGTAGCGGCTGGGTTTTTGTTGATGACGTCATACCTCAATAACAGTTAGTGCGACTATTTTAAGGATAAAACTATTGATTTCCTTCCAAAATTACAATGAAGCATATCGACCACACGCGGCCGGGAACGGGGTCACGATTACACATGTAGTGCAAACTTGACTAGTGACATTGATTGAGGAAAAGATTGTTATATTATAATGATCGGCTTTAGAGAAGTATTGAGAGAAATACTGAATGAACGATAAGCACGGTCGACTGATTGAATAAAATTAAATATATTACATAATACATTGGGTTTAAAATAGTAGTGAGTTAAGTTTGCGTGTGTCCTATTTAAATGAAGTTATCTAAGATATATTGTTCTTTTCATCATATTTGATTATTTTTTCAATCACTGATCACACTAAAAGGTATGAATTAGCTGTACATGTGCAATATAATTTATTTGATTGTCTAAATTAATAAAGATGTTAAGTTTCAACAAATAACATGTCTGATATATTTTTCATTTATAAAAATCATACATATTTCTACTTTAAAATAAATTTATAATTACGTGTTTGTATTTTCTGTATTCTCGTCTTTATTTTAAAAAGCTTGTATATTATTGTTTTAATTTTATTAGAATAGGAAAACGGCCAGGAGATGTACTCGTGTGTAGGGTCACGCCATACAACACGTGACGAACTGTCTGACAAATAATTATAATGAATTAATATAATGATTATCAGGAATGTTTCATACTCTTTAAATATATTTGATTTTCTTATAATACAACATACTCATATAGAAATTATTATTTGCGATCCTTCAGTAAGTTCTCGAACTTTTCGTTTCTCAGGACTCGTTCGTGTCGTGAGGTTCGTTTGGACCGCGTATAAGACGTTATTTTAACATTATATATTTCTTAAGATTTGTTATATTTTGCACAGACTTAAACAATATTGAATTCATATTAATATAATTATCAGACAAGACGATAAATAATTATCATAATCAGTGGCGGCTGTACCTTAAGTGCGCTCGTGCGCTGAACCACCAATTCAAAATATTTAAAAATTACAAAATATTATGTCGTCTTAATTTTTAAATTACCATTTTAATATTTATTTTTTAAACATACAAAAAGGTATAAAAAATTTAATTTCCAATTATAGTCAAAAAGTTTGAGCGCTTTACTAAACTCATATCGTGCGCTCCGGCGAGTGCACGAGGACTGCTAATACATCTTGTATGAGACACGCATCAATACGCCTGGCGCGTGAGACAAAAGATAGTTCATAGAAATGTACCGAGTAACGAGTCGGTTCTCGCGCGCCGCACGAAGCGGCCGAAGGTTACCGAGAGCACCCGATGTATGACGTATTGAGCCGGCCGGCAAGGGGCCGGCCGAAAGGATGGGTGCTATGATTGACATTTCGTTAATCGTTATTGGTATTGTTTCAACTTTCACTGTATGCGTGACGCGTTAATTCGTTATTGTTTATAATTATTTCCGTAATTCGTTTTAGTTTTTATTTCGTTTCTATAATAGAACTTTTATTCTGTACTGTGTTTTTTATTAGTTGAAAATGAGTATAAATATTGATTATATTAAAGAAAATAACAAAATTTTTCAAAGTAAAGTGAACATAAAATTGGCCGGGCCGCCACGGCCCTTTTTAAATTTAAAACAAGAGTGTAAATCGAAAAATAAAGCATTTATACGAAGTTTTAAAAGTGAAATGTATAATAGAAAGAAATGGTTGTGTGGATGTGAGCGTCTTAATGCATTCTTTTGTTTTCCTTGCATTATTTTTGGCGGAGAATCGATTTGGACAGAAACTGAAATCAGATTTTAATAAAAAGGTGATAGAACATTTCGCTACAGAAAAATGTCGTCGCATTGATTTAATGTACAAAAAATAAACATATTTTATGTCAATTGTTGTTTTTGTCAATATTTTAGTAAAGTGAACCACCAGTTCGATAACCCACCAGCCGCCACTGATCATAATTATAGATAAGATTAGATTGGTTTATTTAAAGACGTCTTCAAATTATTGTATACAACATCATACATTTGAAATGATTTTCATTAAAATATTAGTTATAAATACTTGTTAGTACATACACGTTTATCATTTTAACCTCGTGTTTGTAAAACTATTATTGTATATTCAATATTAAACAGCCGTTATATCTAAGTGTCTGATGACTCATAACTAGCGAGATGTCTTCTTTTATTATTATACTAGCTGCCTCCCGCGGCTTCGTTTCTAACTCAATTGTATGACTCACTCTACACTATACTCCTAGCCTGCCCCTTCCTGACATACCTATCGTATATAATATGTATATCTGTTTTAGAGTGAACATTTTAAATTTATTTGTTCCCGAGGCTGTGTTAAGTTGTGTTTGCAGAATTCATATGTTATCGAAGTGTAATAATTCAATGTATCAGTTTATATTAAGCTTACTGACGTGAACCAGACACGTGGTTCGTGTTACTGATTTAACTCCTATATTCTCTGAACACTTTATACACAAACATTCATGTTTACTTACGTTCAGACTAACAACACTGAAATTCGCTAACACTTTGTGTTTCTTGTTTGAAGTCTTGACTTGCTGTCTAAATTTCTTCTTTTAAATCAAGTTTACAATATTAAAGCATACTTATTATATGATTATATTCAGTATGCTGTATGAGATGTCCTAGTTTCTGTGTTGTAAGTAAGGCGAGTGTTAGCGGATTAACAAACAATAACAAACAATAAATATTAAACTCCTGGCTCGCCGCTCGCCGGTCGCCGTATCTCTACATCAGACCATTCGTCAGTATCGAGGGTCATCGGTGATGGCAGCCGTCCATCAGATTATAATTATCCACAACACACCATATATCTTTATGTTCCTTTGCATATTGTTTTTGTCATGTTGACAATAACTTAATAAACAATTATGTGAATTGGTTAAAAATACTGATATATTTTTTTGTTACAATATCTGTAGCTCTAGTTTCAAAGTGGATTTATTTCTTTCGAGTGTACGTTAAAGATTCCTCCTCAAGGCTCGCGGATTTGCCAGATTTTTCTCGAAAACCCAAACAGTTTTGGACTCAATGATGATTTTAAATATACAGTTTCTAATAGGCAACAGTATACTATTTATCTTGGGATTATTTAATTATTCGTTGTGTATTTTTAATCTTATGTCTACCTTATAACTTTATTTTGGCTGACATGTTTTTTATTAAGAAATATAAAACCTCTTTGTTTTGTGCTTTATTTTTTAATGACGGGTGTGTTGTCATTATTAATAAGAGTAGATGTCTAGTGACAGTTGGGTTATACGAAAAGTGATATAAGTGACTCTGAGAAGCTTTATCAAAATGAAAGAGGGAGCTTCGATAATATTGTGTAGGTTAGTAACGAACACGGAAAAATATACATATGTACATAAAATAAATAACACAACAACAGAAGTTGAGAATAATGCGAACTATAATTAGAAACGAAACAAATAGACAATGAAGTCCTTCCTTGTAAATATTATGAGGTTTGAAGGATTCTGCGGTCCGAGCCGGTGATTAACACAGCGCCAAGGATGATACTTGTTTATTAATATATTTAATATTATTTCTTTTCTCATTACGAGCACTTGTCTGCAGCGAGGGCTTGGAATATGTATGAAAGGATAAATATCTTTTGAAAGACGAGCTCTTAGAATGAGCTGGCTTCACGTCGGCCTCCACTAATGAGCCCCCAATTATAAATGAAACAAGCTCTCATACTTGAAATGTTTATTGGTTTGAATGCATTCCAGGCTGTTACTGGCTCTGAGATCCGCTTCTAAACCTCTTTATATTAACGTGTATTGATAATAATTATTCTCTATACATTTGATTATTTACAATTTTTATTCTGCACATATAAAATATGCTATATTATTATCATAACAATTCCTCTTATAAATGGCACGGCCTTCTATGTGTATGTGACAAGATACAAAACCGCAGGACCAATTTATTAAATCAATATCCGAACAAGTTACAGGGATTTCCTAATTATCGGATTCCCCTGAAAACGTTTTCCTCCTCTAACACTATATATATGTAATGTTCTAAACACAGGATAACAATTTATCAGAGGCCGCTGGATGTGAGGCATCGTCAGGGTGTTGTATGGTCGATGAGCTCCCGGCACCGGCGGTAGAAGATGACCATAGAGTTTACTAGAAGACAGAATGACTCCCGACCTGGAGGAGTGTCCAGAGGTAAACTACATGAACATGTACTTTAAAATGATAATAATATAAATGATTTATATATAATATTAATAAATATGTTGTATTTGATCAGACGGAGAGACTGAACGGGGATCATCAGGAGGAGACATCCCATCAGGGGCGGAGGGTTCTACCGGAGGAGCAGCCCGCGGTACAGGCCTGGGTCGAGAACGAGGAGCCGGGGCTGGCCTGCGATAGTAGGACCAACAGTCCCGGAGAGAACAGGAGACTCCTGGGAAATAAGCCGCATCACAAATCAACCGCGAAACTACAAGCTGGTCTGACGCTAGGAGTCTGGGGAGCTCCGAAGAAACACGTGAAATACCCTCGAACTTTGAAAAATGTAAAGATTAAACATAACACGAAGTCGAAGTTCCAAAAACGGAAGGAAAAATTAATAGAAGCATTAAAGCCGCCGTACTTTATCATTACCATGCTGAGTATTATTGTAAGTTGGAACTGTTATTTATTTAAATACTGATTACTGCATCAAAGACTAGTTGTAAAGCTTGTATATTGTTTCCAGGTGATGGTACATTTCTGTGGACCAGACAAGTGGCGTGCGACGCTCGAGTGGTCCCCGGGCGGCTGGTGGAGGGAGCCCTGGAGACTCCTCACGTACGGGTTCGTCCACGCCGGGCCCGCGCATCTAGCACTTAACGCTATAGTTGCACTTACGGTGAGTAGAACACTTTACATAGATTTGCAGTTAATATGTATAACATACAATAACTAAAACTTTTATCAACATAATATTTCTGCAAACATGCGTACCTACACTACTTATGTATATAGCAGCAGTGTGATATACAGAATGTAGGACAATTTATGCAACATTTATATTCCTTATTTTTTATAAAATGTATTTCCACTTAATTAAGCATAATTGTAACTATATAATAACTTTTTCTTGTGTTCATATAAAGGTGGGGTGGCGCCTGGAGCGTGAGCAGGGTTGGTCTCGTGTGGCGCTGGTGTGGGCGGGTGGTGTGGCAGCGGGCGCCTTGGGAGCTGGTGCCTTACAGCCTCACGTCAGGGTCGTGGGTTCCTCGGCCGCCGTGTACGCTCTCCTCACCGCGCACATACCCAATGTCTGTCTGAGGTGGGACAAATGCAAAGAGATTAAGTTTAATTAAAATTTATTTTACAATAAAGGATTCATAATGAACATGTTTTTTTTCGTAGGTTCGGTCATATCCCCCTGTGGTGGTTCCGTCCCCTGAGTGTGGTTGTGTTAGGCGCCTCGGAGCTGTGCTGGGCGCTGCTGCAGGCTCCGGATCAGAAAGAAAGCAACCATGTGGCGTGGGGAGCACACGCGCTTGGGGCCGCGGTCGGAGTACCACTAGCGTTCATTGCCTTCACAGGTAATGTACAATACAATATGATAAGACTCTACAACTTCTACAAGTAAAAAGTTTGAAAAAATATAAAGCGTTAATAATGTAACAATTTACAGGTGAAAATTCGTCACAGACCAAAATCACAGTATGTCGCGTAGCTTCATGTATGTTGTTGGTGTGTGGGGTCCTCGCTGCTATCGTTCATTACGTGTTTTGGGCGGACTTCGATCACTTCACCTGACACTTGATGAGAATGAGGCTGCGGCGCCGACCCTGACCTGGAACTGTGAAGAAACAACTAATGAATCATTGGACAGGAAGATGACGTCTCCTTTATCCTACAAAAATATATGTATGTGACGATTTGATATGTTGATCAAAGTTAAGGACCATGTCTTCCGTCCATTCAATGTTATACTAGAGGAGAATAAAAATGAAAAATTGAAAAGATTGAGGAATCAATTCAATGAACTGTCGATATAAAGATTCCTTCAAATATTAAGGAATGATTTGGAAATAAATGAATGAGAAACGAACAAAGAACAAGTCTTCCATCGTTATCTAAAATAAAAACTTGATAAGTTTTACAAATTTACATTAAATTTAAAATAATTAAAGCGATTTTAGTATCAGTAGGTTTAATATTATAAAATAATGTGTAAGGAACGATATTTCAGTTTTAGTAAAATGTTTTTACTAACCTGTTAAATATCTAATGGATGTTTTGTATCAAAACATGTTCTAAGTCTGTAATGTAAGTGGCTACTTTTAATATTGTTGTGAGTCTTTACTAAATATACAAGGCGTGTATTACGGGAAGGATATTTTTAGCTTGTTAACAAAATTAATAATACTTACTAGTCAAATATTTTAAATTTAAGAACTATATGCGAGGACGAACTGCGGAAGCTTTAAAGTGTTCTAATGTTTGTAAGTGTCTTGTATATATAGTCGTACATTGTACATATCAACTATTGTGTATTCATATAATAGAGTTAAGTTCAAGAAGTGATTTTTCAATGTTGTCATTTTTATAATGTTAGTATTCTATGAATTTAATGTCGTTTGTGTTCATAGAGTAAGCTTTGTGTTAATGATATTTTTACCAAATCAAATAAAGGCTACCAATAACAATGTATTATTGGAATTGACTGAAATTGAATTTATCGTATAATTAAAGTCATTTTTGTAAGTATGTATATTTTTTATTTGTCGATTTCCTTCTTCTGTTCGTCATTTTATCTTGAGTGTTACAACTATTGATAATAATACTTATTCCTGTTATTGGCTTAACAATCTACATTTATTTATATTAATGTATTTTTTTTAACAAACTGAAGACTTCGTCATGGGAGTTTATTTATTAATAAATTTCTTAATACAATTCTTATCTTCAATTTCCTAAAGTTCTATCATTAAATATATATTTTCTATACAGTAATCTATTGAGGCAAGTTAGTTTGTAATGTATGTAAATGAATTTTCAACATGAATCCCTTTAATTTATTTCTATGTGAGATCAAAGCTAACGTCTCTTAACTGTTAATTGTGAATATAAAAGTATTTAATCTATAATAGGTATATAAAATTGAATATTTGTCTAAGTTGAACTTATGCTAACAATCACACTGATCCATTCTTTGTACAAAACTGTTTCCAGTCCGCTTTCTTGTGCTACTTTTCATTTCTTACTGAGTTCATCTCTTGGGTGAGTTATCAAACGGTTTTCAACAACCCAAAGAACGGCATTGTACTCCAACCTCGGTGCATTTACATTCTTGGCACGGTGAAGACAACTCAGCTATGATCCTACCCACTCGGTACATTCGTCCATATATGTTACAGCCGGCTAGTTTCGGTAAACCAAGACCGAACCCTGAGAATAGATTAGATGTGGGCCGCTTTTCTACCGATTGACTTACGAAGCCTTCCTTGCTGTTTATTTCAACGGACTTTGTGACGACCGGCCTCTGAGTGGTTTTGGTGGTGAAAATCTTTTTGGTAGTGGTGTAAGTGACCGGTTTGTAAGTGACAGGTGCCTGTGTGGTGGTCGTTCTGATGGCGCTCGCTTCTCCCAACACTAAATGGTCAATTCTATCGACCGTATTGAATCGATGGGGTGATTGTTTCGGAGGAATGTAGGGGAAGTGTTGTGTTAGAGGAACAAACGGTGGAATGTTTGATTGTTTCCTCGTTGTTGTGGTCGCTGCTGTAGTTTTAACTACTTTTGGTACATGTGTAGTCGTCGTCGTCGGTTTCTTCTTAGAGGCAGATGTCGTGGTGTCGTATGTTTCACTCAACAAGAGTTTCAAAACACTTCCCAGAGAGAATCCTTCGTCGTCATCTTCTTCTTCATAGTCTGAAGCCTGGCTGCTACTCGGTAATAACATATTTACTTTTTCGGTTGTTGTAGCATTTAAAGGAATACCACTTATTACGGATGATTTCGTTGTGTTGTCAAGTAAAATATCTATTAATGTGTTGTTTCTTATCACATTGTGTATTGTTTTGTTGTCACTATGTAAGGCGTCATCAAATGTTGGATTTTCTTTTTGGGTGACGTTTAGGTTGTTTTTATCATCAAACATTGAGCTAAATGTTTCGTTAAAACTCTCTTGAAAACCTGAAGTGGATGTATTAGAAACCTCTGGAATCTTGTCAACTGAAAAATAGAAAACAATCATTTTAAATAAAGTTGTGAATCTATTTGGATAAGAAAAGTAAAATAAATATGTACCTTGATCACATATTAATTTCCCGCAGCATGAGTCAGCAGTGTTCTTTTCAATCATCTGCCTCTTACAGCCAGGCGGCGTGTGACATGGTCGCGGGGAGCAGTGTAGTTCTCCCCACATACAGGAACAGATAGAACAGTCAACGTTGATGGACTCACCCTCTGACACTCGTCGACCATCATCTGATAAACATTCATCTGTAACACGTTAAGGATTTATTTAAAAAAAATATTTCATCATCATCAGCCTATCAGAGCCCTCTGCCGAGTAAAAGCCTCGTCTCACACGGAGAAGGTTAGAGCACTAATCACCACGCTTGCTCAAGACGGGTATGTACAAATTATAATTTTTAATTTAAAGTCCAGGTTTCCTCATGGTGTTTTTATTCACCGTCTGTCAGTGGCGTCTAAGTATTCTCAGAAAGTACGAGTACATATGACTCGAAAAAATCTAATTGGTACTTGCCAGGTTTCGAACCCGCACCCTCATGGACAAGAACTTTGGACATTTAACCTTTGGAGTCTAGACCACTGAGACTTTAATAAACATTTGGAACTATTCAATATTTATGGAGGTAAATTATTTGCGTCAGTTAAGAGCATCCTTTAAAGGTATTTAGTGCTTTTATATATTTAGGTAACATGAATACATATGCAAAACGAAAATAATTCACTCAAATCATACCATACCTTTCGTATTCAATGGCATGGACGTTGTTAAGTGAGGTATGATGCCAGATGAGGTGCTTTGATACGGCGTGTAGTAGTCATCAATGAGCCCCGGGTCTTTTGGGACGAAACCTCCTGCGATCAGATAAGATATAATAAGATAATCAGTGATTTATGTAGTGACTACATTCATGAAAAAAACTCTCTACTGACCTTCCGTTTCTACGGGAGGTGAAAATAAGTTTACATCAGGTGACTTCATATCAAATTTTGATGTTAGACTTGGTTCACTAACGATACCGGAATTTATTTTGCCAGGGTTCCCGAAAGATGCAGATACTGTATACTCGTGGACATCTGACCCTACGTCATCAGTTAGTCTCGGATAAGCGATATTCACATCATCTTCATCCTGTACTATTCCTGGATACTGAGGTTCATTCTTCCCAGGCGTGAACATTGAATAATGCGTTAAATTGTAAACATCCTCTCTGTGCGTTTCATAAACTGTCTCTTTAGAGTCTTTAGTTGGATAGTACACGGGGAATTTGTCATCTCTCGTCAAAGACGGATAGTTGGGCATCTCTTTAGGTGACATGTCACTATCAACGACCGCGTCAGCAGCTACAAATGGAATGATCCTGAAATAAGATGTTTTATTATACAACTAGTTTTTGCCCGCGACTTCGTCCGCGTTAATTTCATCATTAGTAATATATGTATAGCTGACCGGGCGAACTCTATTCCGTCCTAGAGGCCATAAATAATCAGGTTTTTCCTGTTTCAATCGAACTGAACGATTGACATATTAGTTAGTTGTCAAATCTAATGTCAAAGAAAACATTTGTATGGGAAATAGAAAAGGGCTGTTTTTAGTGTTTTCCCGAAAATGAATCAATTTTTCTCACCTTTTAAACCTTCCCTGAACCTCCACGAACATTTCAAGACTAAGATAAGATAAATCCGTTCAGCTGTTCTCGAGTTTTAGCGAGACCAAGGAACAGCAATCCATTTTTATATATATAGAAGATTATAATTAAATTCTGTAAAAGGAATATAAATTGACTTACTTCAAATTCGGTAAGGACGGCGGCAGAGTAGGTTCCGTATAATCGTAATCATATTCGTCTTTTTTTGTTTTAGACATATTAACAGCTCCGATCAACGCTGGGAGGATCGTTTTAGGGAGAGCTGTGGACGATAGGGTCGCTGGTGTTGAACGAGTGTTGTTAGTGTGAAGAGATGAAGTTACATTTACTGTGTAGGTTTCGTCTTCGTCAAAGTTAGCGTTGTGGTTCCCCTCCGTTATAATATCATTAGGTGGAAACGTGTGATCCAAATTCTCTATTTGATCTATGAGTGGTACGCGAGGCTGCACGTCGTCTTGTATCCAGATGGTGTCATTCGTGTTAGTTACATTTAGGAACAGAGACGTTGATGATAGTTCCGCCGTACAGTTGATGGTGCCGTTTATTATAACTCTCACCGATCCTTCTGGTTGTTCTGTCATTAATTCTTCTGTCATCTCTGTGGTAGGTTCAGGAGTTATAGTTGACGTAATATCATTATTATTCTGCGTCGTCTCTAACTCCATCACTTTAGTTGTGTCAACTCTTTCCGCCACCGTGTCATTACTCAGATTTTCTTCTATTTTTCTTTTTACTTTTACAGTACTTTTTATAGGTTCTTCTTTAGTAACCGTCACAGCGGCTGTACTCTTTTCACTTACAGACTCCATCGCTCTGAGAGTTGTTTCTCTCTTAGTCGATTTTGAAGTATGAAACGATCGAAATTCCTCTTTCACAGGTAAAAGTACATTTTGTCGTACCTGACTCAAATTTTTTAACTTCGTTCCTAGAATATTAAAATGTAAACATTAGAATATTAAAACAATTATTTCTTAAGGGCTGTACTATTCTTACCATTTCTGTTATGATCGCACATGTACTGATGGGCACAACATTGTCCAGGTTGTACCAGGGGCTTACAGCCGTGTAACATCGGAGCACATGACAGATGCTGACAACGGATGGAGCCATGGAGACAGAAACACTGGACACAATCAGAACTTTCAGATTCCTTGACGCGCCCGCCTTCCTGGACCCATGTACCAGTGGGGGTTAAACAATCTGAAAAGAAATATAATATATATGCCGTGTATTGTACCTTTTATGTGAAATAAATTAAGAGCAATTAATATTTAATTTTAAATTAAAATTATGTAATAAACACTCATCAAATTATATACGAAACAACAAAAAGTATGTTTTTGAAGTCCATACGTAATTTTCATTATATCCCTTTTCCTTTTATCGGGGCAGGTGACGAAGATTAAACATTCATTTTATCATCTGCCAAGGTTTTAACATAATAATATCACATGATATTGACTGATGACATGATTGTTATTATAATGTAGTCTGTATTACCATGAGAGTCAGTTTCAATGGGAGGCTTAGTATCTCCGTGTAGACAGTAATATCGTTGTGGGCAGCAGGCTCTTGATGCAGGGCGGGCCGAGCAGCCGGGGGGCGGCGGCAGGCAGCGGGGCCTCACGCACCGTCTCCTGCCTCCCAGGCAGAAACACTGCTCGCAGGCCAGGCTCGAGGACATCGCTGACCCCGCCGCGTACACCGTGCCGCCTTCCACACACGCTGGAAACACTCACGAGGGATTTCATGTCAGAATTAATTTGAAATGTTCATATAATAATAGTGAATATAAGAAAGAATCATTAATGTATCCGTATTATTAACTTACCATGACCGATGGAAGACGGTACATCAATATATGAATCCTCAGATCTTGATGAAGCTGCATCATCTAAGTAAGTTGTTCTATCTGGAAATAGACGAATTGAACTAAGTACATGTCAAATTCAAAACTACATAATATATATATTCCATATGTTTAATAATACATTTTTTAATTTATGTCAGAAATACCTAAAACAATATAAGTACATACATATGTGTCTCACTTTTTCATCATTTAATTTTTAAGCATAGTTGACAACACCTGATATGCTGGTGTGAAAAAGAAAATTTTCGTATTGAAATTGGTGTTATCTTAGAAGTATATCACATTGAAACAAAACCGATTTAGACTCTAGAAACTTTCAGAGGTCCGTGGGTATTAATCTTGTTACATGTTATATGTTTATAAGAGACAGACTTGGGCAGTGCAGTTCAGGGCAGCACTCTCCTCGCCGGTGAACCACGGAGCAGTGTGCTGGAGGCTCCGAGGAGGCAGCACAGGAGCGACGGCGACAGGAGAGAGCGCCTCGAGCACAGACACACGACAGACAGGCCTCACGGGTCCGCACAGCAGCCCCCGCAGTGAACCACGAGCCTTCATAGTAACAACCAGACTCGGTCTCCTCTGAAACAATAACACATACATATACACAATAATAAAACTATTTACAACGATCTGAACATTGTTCTACTTAATAAAAGCGATCTTCCGTAACTGTTCGGTATAATACATACATTAAACACAGAAGCTCAAATGACCTCTTAGATTAATTAACTTGGATATAAAAATGTAAATTATTTAGTTAGAGTATTGCTGTGTTTCTGTTAAGTAATCTTTATATTTCACAGAACCGTATGAAGTACCTGTCAAATGTTCCTTCGAAATGACACTTGTAATTAATTATTTTTCAATTACCGACATCGTTGGCGAAGATGACATCAAGACCTGTCAGAAGTACCCGAGAAAGAGAATTATGACTATGAATGGCAATTTGGTTGCGGACTTATTATATTAATGATTCATTTTTTACAACAATGCGGAATAAAACTTAAAAGAGTCACTGAATATTTAATACACACAAATTATAAAGATACCTACATATGTGAAGTATAGACTTCGAGACACACGCTGACTTGGTTAAATACTTTCAGTTTGTTAAATTATGTTCTAACAACAGTATGAGAAACATAATGATATCAAAGATTTTCGCGGGCACTCATTTATAGGAAACTAAGGTTTGTGGGTGTTACTGCGCGTTTTTATTTTATAGGTTCCTTTAACTTAATGACAGGCAGACGAGATGAAAATGACATTTGGACTGAAACGTTTCAATTATGTTGTATAAAATCATTAAATAGGCATAGTGTCCGAAAAAAATACTTTTAGTAAATATTAGAAACAGTATGAACTCAAAATCCAGGTAACTTATAATTTAAGACAGAGGGGGTGTATTAAAGCTTACCATTACGGTAAAATGATCCATCGAAATTAACGGTAACATTACACGACTCACAAAGTTATCAAGCTATTTAGAGATAATTAATTAAGGTAAGGAATTACTGAATGACTCACCCGACGCTCTCACACTTGTGGTGTCATGATGAGACCGCTCGATGTCTCCGAAACCAACTACAACAAGAGATAATATAATAATGATAATGAAACTGAAATAAAGATTGTCAAATATATTGTATCGACAACCCCCTTGAAGGATAAGCACTCCATATACATATAAAAGTAAAATATAAAAAGTACACTTTTGTATTTCAATACTATGAATGGGTGAAATATTCAATCAAAGACTTATATATTAACCTAATCACTTCAATAAACCCTACTTGAACATCAAATAACAGGATAAAATTAATTAACATAATGATATAAGGAGGAATGGAGAAACCTCATCTCGTCTCGTAAGGTGAGAGGGGCGAGCGTGGGAACTGACACCGACCACGAGGAACGGGTAGCACAGTTATAGTACGGAGTGACGAGTCGCCTTAACACCTTAACAATAAGGTTCATAATGAAAACAACAGAGATGGAACCTAACAGTACAGCACCCTGATGACGACCCATTCACGAAACATAACACACAGCACGATTGTAACATTACTGAGACCAAGAACAGAGGAGACTGCTTGCTTCGAGGCAACTGGCCTATAGAAACAAAGACGACGACTGAAACATGTCTTGAAGATTATATTAATATAATACTGTAGGTATATAACAGAAATATTTGACAACATATATACTACACGATTAACACTACTGTACGTAAATTATATGAGTGGAAGAAATATATAAACTCAATAGATGTGTCGCGACAATGTTCTACATGTGTAATGATACAGAAATATGAAATATATATTTTTTTAAATAGTTACTCAGTTAGTTCATCGTTTTAATGTTAATAGGTGTTGTTACATGTCTGTTTAATTTCTTCTTCTAAACACAAAGCCGAAACTATCTATGGAAATCGTTGAATTTTTTTTACAAGAATAAAATAACTTGAAAAACAGTCATTCTTGAATCAATGTTATATATAACTGACTGACTCATCACTGGGAAATTGCTCTTAACAAAAATAGTTGTTTTTTAAAACCTTAAATTAAAAGAAAATGTTCCCATAATTTTCATTAAGGTGAGAGGTGAGTGCTTCAAGAATGATACTTCTTATATTTAACAGATAACTCTGTGGAGCCTTCCTCGTGATGTAGGTACACGTGTAGAACTCAAACATTGTATTCATAAAAATGATGAGTACTAAATAATATAAAGGTTACGCTTCAAAATTTTCCCAAGTGTTAAGTTTAACAGACGAAATAAAATAATTAATTTGTATTTTAATGTATGCTAATTATAACGAAACAATGGGCTCCCAGGGTCCGAGTGAGGAGTGAGGAGTGAGGGGTGGTGGCCGAGCGGTGTGACATCCGGTCGAGACCGTCTCAGCAGCCCCCTGGGAACACGGCATTGTGTCGACTTAACGGAGAATAACTGTTCATAGAAGATATAATGAGAGCAGGTCTCGTGTTATAAGACACAACGACCGAGGTTGTTCAAAGATAACTAGAGAACAATCAATGTAAATAATGAAATGATTAGTTAAGTTATTGAACGAATATGTGTAGGGAAGAAATAATCATAAATAGCTAACAATGAACAGGATTTAAGACACAGAATTATAAGTATACATATATAATATTATGTTAACAAAAAAATTTAAAGAATTCAGATTATGAGTTAAAAATATATATTACAGCGTGAGTTGAATAATTTATATAGTATATTGAACTATGTCTATTTATCAAATACACTAAAAGCTTAAATTATGTCCAAAAATAGAAAAGATCACAGAGTTAAAACAAGAATATTAAAACATACCGACTGTGTAGTAATGATCGTTTACTAATCAACGATATTTTTTTTGTCAGAACATGCCTTTATCGTTAAAGATTTTTTGTGATTTAATCTTTTATTACAATTAATTTAAATATTAATTGAATAAGTTAAAAATATAACGATACGAACTAACGAAGTACGGAGTGGTCACGACTTCTGTGATCTCTAACAACAAGATTGATTTAGTTGTTTTTGTTATTAGTTCAAAACTCAAATTTTAATTCGCCTGTGATCTGTCCGTCTGTTCCTAGTGGGTATAGTTCTCATTCACCTCACAATATATATTTCCATTGAGTCTGTCTACATCTTCACAGGTCATTATAACGAAGTCAAGATCGAATAGTTTTTTCGGACAAATATTTGTATAAGAAGTGTTCGGACTGAGTGATGAAGCTGTGCTCGTATCTCGTCCTAATAAGATGTATATTGTGTTGTGTGGTGGAGGGCCGCGGTCATCACATTTGCATATATGAATGTGTTGCGAGGAGGCAGCTGACCGGCTCACAGCTGTGTGGGAGGGAACACAACTGTTTTATAGGCGATCATGAACTGTTATGTGTCGTATGAACTAGTGTCAGCACCCGGCGACACGCGGGATAAAACAATACAAACGGAACAAACATAAACACCAACATACACAATTTATCTTTCAACATTCTTTTTGATTTAAGGATGTTTAGTTAAACTTGTTATTATTATTATATACATCTGTTAATACTTAGTGAACATTGTACAATGTCAAACTGAAGCGATTGATTTTTATATCTTACTGTTCTCTTTTTATTGTAACTCCAATCCTTTTGTTACATCTGAATCATCACCCTTACCTTTTGCATGCAATAATATTGACATTTAATTGCAATTACCAATTCTTTACAATATTAATATAATAAAAACATCAGAAAGTGTCTCTAATGGAAATATTGTCTTGTCGAACAGTATGTGTGTAGGACGTTCATTGAGTTAAAGACATGTCATTGTTAGAGGATCGAGGTCTGTCACAATACAGCCTGGACCAGTGACACACATCACACACACGAGATAAAACACTCATGATGGACACTACACAATGATACTAGGAAAGAGAACAACGGAACCTTCACAAACACAATCATATGTATGAATATTAATATTAACAAGCAAATAATATACATCGAGTACAGCCTTCTGTGGGATGCTGTGTTTAATATAATAGAGGGAGGACTGAAGTTTGAATAAAATAAACAAAGACAGCGGGGCGCGCGTTGAACTCGGACGTTGAGAGACGAAACGCGATGAACTTCACTGACATATTGATATTAAGATATGTACAGCGATATAACACACAGACATGTGTTGTATGTACATATAACATGTGCTCAGATATAGTATATCACGTCTGAAGGCTCGGGTCCGTCCGGGAGCACACGACCAGCCAGACGTCCTTCGCGTTTTGTTTTGTAAAAAATATACCTGCGAGATGATTCGCGGCCCCAGATAACGATACTCACGGAGGTTCTCAACGTCTGTATCAATACGATGTAGTAGATCAAACAATGAATTATAATAATGTTATTTATTTGATATGGGAGCGCTTATCCTGAGTGCGGGGTCGACGACCGGCCGGTTCGCGACCTGAGGCGTGCGCGCACAGCAGCAGCGCGAGAGACAACATGACACACGGGCGACCCGCGCCACGCACACCACTGGACTGACCGCTGACGACCGGCCACCGAGCGCCCGCCACACGGACCACGGACCACGGACCACGGGGCCCTGCCACAACATGGACCACAGAGAACCACCCTCCGATACTCAGTGAGAGCTTCGCCCGGAGCTTACTCTGTAAACTCATCTTGAACATTATGTCGTCACTTATCGTTTTTTGTCAGTATAACTTTATATTGTTGTAAATGAATATTATATTATTAATTATTTTAAACTATTGACTATTGTTAAAGACATACATACGTAACACTCAATCAATGTACATATAGTAGGTATACAATCTGTCGGTAGGTTTGAACTTGAACTAATCAATTGATTGCATGATTGCGAGCTACAGCGAGGTATGAGGAAAAAACAAACGACCAGACGGACATTCATATAGAGGAGATGTGATCTGTGTGTGAGCGGAGTGAGCGGGCGGCTCCCCACGATTATAACAGGCGACATTGTTCAAATAAAACAGAAAAACTGGAAGCGACTCGCCTTACTCAATAAGGCCTGTTTCAAAACACCTCGGAGCAGGCGGCGGTCGCACGGGTAAGGGTTATTACACACTACTACAACTACCTCCGACTCCATAAACTGATTTATGTATTGGTTACAGTACTTACACATAATACAACTGATATATTTCAATTAAAAGATGAGCATTTCCAAATTTTACTGTCATATACCAAAACATTATGAATTCAATGTTTAACTGTTCTAATCGTTAGTGTTTCTCGTGTCGTTATAATTCAGTAATGAGTCAAAGTCACATGCAGTCCAACTCAGGATCATGATCCTGGCGATACTGTCTCGGAATGTGTCACAGGCGACCAGATCTCATGCCACACTCGTCTACATTCAAGACTCACTAAATGGTACTTATCGTTAAATCATACTATGTTAGCAACAGAGTTGCGGCGGCTCGCGTCAATTACGTAGCTACATTATGATAACACGAAACATTCAACACGCGCAGACATACATACATGTCGAAGACGGAGTTAATTGTACGAAGCTATTTTCTTTACGACGGTCTCGTTAAAACCTTCCAGATATCAAATATTATACGAGGATCGTCTCACATGAAGCACAAGAATAATAAAAGCTATATCAATATGCGTGTCATTACGGCGGTCCAGGAGGCGACTACCTTTTCCCCCGACATTCCTCGCCCTGGGGCCGCCTTTCATCTCCCAGCCAGCATCTATTAACCGGCCATTTTCTTTATTAGCTTCTTAATGATACATAATTCTCTCTTAAACTGCTCCATCGGAATTAAAACGCATTACTATTGTTACTTCAATGTACAACATGTAATTATATCTTTTCTGGGAGAAATATATAAATATGGAAAGCGTTTAAAATGAGAAGAATTATCTATATATTTTTTTAAATATAATGTCGAGTTAGTTGAAGGTTTATTTTGTACAATTTACATTCTAGTCGACGAGTGCGTTTTGGTAACAATAAAAGACATTAAGAAATCTTTATGTTTCATCAAGATCTAAATTATTAAGTAGTAATAAAAAGGGGGAATATTATATTTTTGTTATTAAGTAAAATCTTTTTCTGAAGCCTTTTCAAAGTAGTTGCGATAAAAAAATACTTATGTTCAAGTAAGGAAAGTTTCTTAATGGACAAATGAACCTAAATAGAAGATTAGAATCATCATTCTTTGACTTCTGCCCGTGATGGCATCTGTTCAGTACTTAGTTAACGTATCTAGTAATTTTAAACGTGTGACATTTCCAAACGTCTAAACAAATCATAAATGTTATTCTTATAGAAATAAAAGTTGACAAGGTTAAGTATCTTTCTCTTTCTAAATCTTTATGAAACGTTAAAAATTGTAAGTAATTTTAGAATTTTAGAAGTGAGCTACACTTAATAAGGTGACCACAATATGATGTACAGCTCCGTCGAGTCTCAGCCTCTTCTTTCAAAAACAAGTCTCCTGAAAGTGCTCGACAGGATTATAACTAAGAAAATATTTTTTTAGTAATACTTAGTATTCCACTTTGTGTAAAACTAATGAAATACAAAATATCCAAAAAATATCTATTAATAATGAACCATATTTTTGATTAATTAGACGCAGTGTAATCAATCGCAGATTAATATACTATTAATATAATAATTATTTTTTTTATATACGAATAAATTATTTGATAGTAAAATGAGAAGCAACTTTACAAGGTTTTCGGTTTTGTTTTCTCGCTAAAAACCTCTTGATTAGATTTTAATTTTATTAATGAATTGATTTATGCAAGAGATAACATTCAGAATAAATATAAAATCATAAAAACTACTTTTTATTCAATTCAAAGTGAAGCAGATTAAAGTGAACTTCAAGAAACTGGGATTAAAGAAAATTCTAAGATACACATTTTATTGAAAGCTTTCAAAACTTATTTCAACAAGGAGTCATGATTCACTGGCGCCATCTATGTGACAGTTTATAGATCTTTACAAATAACATTCTCTCGTGTAACTCATCGAGCTGTTAATAGATGGCGCTACTTTACGTTACCATTCCACAAACATTGTTTTACTTTATTGAGCTGTAACTCAATTTCTCCATGACATTAGTATTCTAATCATAATAATTTGATTTATAAGCCTTGCATAATGTTACGTGGATTTACATTTATAACTGACGCAATGATAACTATGACGACACAAGTAACTTTATAAGTTGGCGCGATCGTCTTTCTTTTTTGTGTTTCCGTTCACATTAAATAAATATGAGAAAGCTATCTTTTAAGCTGTTGTGATCGTAAAAAAGGATCGTTATGTATTATAGTTTCGGTTAATGATCTGATATTTTTAAACAATTTCCGACACCTACTTTCTATAGCTGTGTGAAAACTAAAGACGTACATATGTACATATATTGTGTGTTGTAAATGCACCAAACATTCGCACTCTCTCTGTATGCATAAACAATATCAATATATTGTTGTTTAAAAAACTCGAAAAATCGACGACCCTGTTCACAGAAGATAGAACATTTTAAATGTCAGCAGGTTCTAGGTACTGGTGAAAATAGAATATATAAAACCCTTCTTTCGTATATAGATTTTATATTTAAACATATCTTGCATAGAATATTTATTTGGACGGATATCTATTCAGTGGTTTAAGCACTGAAAGTCCGTTTAATAAAATCAAAGATATAGACGAGAAAAACGAACAGACATATTGTGATGACAGTTTGACACGGATCAAACTTGTTGTTGAACAAAAAAAAACAATGAAGAAAGTATTCAACTAAGAATAACATGTAAATTTCAAAATTATTTTGAAATATATTTATGAATTGGTCAAAAATAGGTATTTGTGAAATCATGTTGACAAAAAAGACAACGAACATCCAAATGAAATATATAGTTATAAATTATAATATTTAAGTGATTTTTACAATCTTTTTTGACCTTACGTTGTCTCATTTAATATTTGTTTATTATTTTATTTATACAATCTTTCTTTTTAATAAAGAATACTCAACATTTACATAAATTATCATCGTCTCCATTAGGTGCTACATAGGTACATATTTTTACGCATGAATCTTCCATCAGAGCTTTCAGATATTTTTCTATGAAGCGTTACCTCATTAGAACATTTTACATTTCTTTCTTTTACTCTCTTTGTGGAAATTTTCGTCACCAAATATTTGTTTATTATTTACTTTAATGAACGATGTTTTGCCATAATCTTCACTATGTTTCATAGAAAATATATTTCATACTATAAATATAAAAACAAATGTTACGTTATAAGACTGACCTAGTGCCAACAAAAAGATATTTTTAAAGGAATATATTCGTGAAAGCCTTATTTCGTCTTTGTTATAATTTATAGAGATGAATAACATGAGTGGTGTGTTGTGGGGAGGAAGGGAGGGGAGGTAGTGATACACGGGGCGGTACTCGACGAGTGTTTAATAATTAATAAAAATCATTTACAAACATACAAAATGACGTCACATATCACATACGTGTTGTTGTGCTTCACCAATAAATTATATATTGTTAGTTCTGTGAAGCTAAAGATTTCAACAAGACCATTATAAGCCGCCTCGCTCCTTGATCTATGTTTAACAGTATCTGTATTGAAAGACGATTTTTTGAACGTCCTTCCCAGCCTCGTGTCGAGTGCAGTTTATAAAAGTCTTATTGTAACTAACTATTAATCAACGGTTGGACCACAGGCCCGATAAAAACAAACAGTAGAACGGAATCAGCGGCATAGTTTTGGTGGATTTCTGTTTCAAATATATTCCTAAGCGTTGTCAGATCAGTTCTGTTCAGGCGTGATCTTCACATATTCTTGATGTAGATGTGTTGATGGTCATCGTTCTTTGTCTTCTTAAGGTCTAACTAGCTCTAGTTCTGTCCGACGTGGTCGATCTGGCTCTGCAGGTTGTTGATGACCTCCGAGGGCAGCTGGTCTCCGAGGATCTCGAACAGATTGATCCTCTGATTCCCGGGGATAGACTCATAGGCTGCCAGCTCCACTCCTTCCTGGACCTGCAACCATCATCATCATTATAGATCTACGTCATACACACTAAAACGTTTATATATGTATGTATGTGTGTCGAATCTATACCTTTTGTATGATGGCGTCCTTTGGGATGAGTGAGGTGCTCTGTGCTTGCTTGATGGCCTCCTTACTGTAGGCGGCTCCCTCGCGCTGAGGGTAGCAAGCTGCCGCAGCAACCAGCGCGCACAACACCAACAAACACTTCATTGTAGATACTTCAAAGTGAGCTCTGATTGGAGGAAAAGAGATATTTAGTATTCAGAAGATATATTGTATTACAAACTATGTATTCAACTAGGGCTCTCTGTTTCTCCACGCAAATAATGTGAGAATGGCAATTGATAATAATTTACTGTTTATTCACAATATTAGGAAAGAACATGAATAAAAACAAAAGCATTATCCTCGTAGTATATGAGAGTAATAGATAAGCACCATCAAACTTACAAGATTTTTTATGATATTTACTCAAAAAGACACACCAAAAAATATTTACATATGTACTTAATAAAAACCCTTTTAAAGTTCTATATTATTCAGATATCATGTAATCCAAATGATTTAATTTGAAATGAATAAATATCTATGGAGGTGTTATGGTGTTGTATGACCAGTATTACTTGTTTCAAATAATAATATTAAAACGCCGATGTTTAAACGACTCTATATCAAACACGTGATGATCTATGTGAGAATGATTCATAAACACACTTCCCCGACTTACATAACATAATAATTGTTTCACATTAACAAGTTTAATTAAAGTTATAAAAATATAAAGTTAATGAAGGTTTAAGATCGATTCGAGTAAATGTAGTCGTTATCAAGACTAGGTTTCACATTCAAATTTGGCAAACGTTCAAAGTGAAAGTTTAAGGAGAGATCCTCGCGGCGCTCGACTCCTGCCAATGATAATTGATTACGAAAGATTAGAATGCGGACGACACGCGACTCAAATAACAGATACTCGTAACACATACATTTAAAGCGTCGCCTGTACTTAAGGGTCCATCGTTGGAAGAGAATCAATGTGCATGTATTTACATATATTTATATCCGGTTATTTAGTCCACTCGCATGTTCAATTTAAACTCAGATATATAAGGTAACGTGAAATAAGGTTTAGTGACATGATACACCTTTGTATCAACTAGGAAACACCAACAATTCCACTCAGGATTAGTCTCTAAGACCAGGCCTGGTACCTCAGGCCCCGAGCTCGGGCCCAGGCCTCTCATAGGGCCTCGACTCGTCCCTTTAGTATTGCATAACGTAAGATGCGTATCACTCGCGGGAAAGTTGTTCTAGCTCTTAAACCACTTCGACACTCACTGTTGTGTATTTTGATACAATTTAATTTAATTACGTCGTACACTCGCCTTTATGAAGATAATAATATATGTTGATGTACTAATATTATGTTTACGACTGAAATCAGACACTTTACAGCACTACTTAAAGATTTTATAACAATATTAGATGCGATTAAGTTATCAACTGTTCGTTAGTAATTAATGTTAGTAATCTAGATCAAGGATATCAAGCTGTATCTATATAGAGAGGATGACGATAACAATTTAAATTATAACAAAGGTTAGTGTAATATTCAGTGAACACTTCGATATAATAATACGAGATGTAGTAGTCACTAGTACACCGTACATTAAACTCACCTGCAGGTCGCCGAGTGTGGCGCGCGAGCCGTCTCCATTCTCATATACAGCCTCCTCGGACACTTTCACGGAGCCCCCCCCTCCCTCGACCCCCTCCCCGTCCCTCACCACCCCCGCAGACATCCGACCACTGCTTACCATGATGACACCGTGGAGTGTAGACTATGGACAGACGCAACATGAAGCCCTAGAAACTTCCAAACACGAACAATACAATTCTGATTTCTAGTAAACGAAATGCAAGTAATATGCACATTATACATACATATATTTGATATTATAAGTTTATTGTAAGATACTTTAACTTCATTTATATAATAACTACGTTTGCGGCGAGTACCTAGTTGTTTGTGGTTTCGCCAAATTATTATAGATTCATTGCATAAGTAGATCTGTTTAAATCTTAATCCATACAGACTTCACAATAAGCTCTCGAGTTCATCTTGACAGCGAGAACTGGGTTAATGAGTGATAATGAAGAATGTTAAGATGCTATCACAGCACATGAAGTTAACAATTAAATGAAATTAAAACTTGGTTAATATGACTCAAAGTGCGTCTAATAACTGAGTATTGTAACAAAGGAGGCGTCGTGTGAGAGGAGATCGTTAATATAAAGGTAGGATTAAATGTTCTGATGATGAAATCGTCACAATACAACCGGATACATCAATAGTGAGTATCGATGATGAAAGTGTGGTACAAACCGGTCCCGCATCACTTGTTTGTTATACTCATATAGAATAAGTTTGACAAAGACTGAATGTACCATAACAGACACCTATGAATATATAGACTTTAAATGGTAGGTGGTCATAGGTTGGTGATGAATATATGAATATATTGACAGTCGTCAAGGTTGCAGATGAACAGTTCTAGGTACAGATGAAGACTCAAGGGCTATGTAGATGAAATATTCTGTTATATAATATGAAGAAAAAATATAATTCAGATAAGGTTCTAAATAGAAAACTTGACTGTTCAAATTGATAAAATTGATTGAATTGATGATCAAACTTCTTTTGCTTTCATTCTATTATTGGTGTGACTCTTCACTGTTTAATATTATACATATGAATGTCATGAATATTTCGTGTCAATTATATTGTAAATGATCGTGTCTTACAGACGTCTTAGAAAGGCACAGTAGTGAGTGTCGTCGGGTGAAGGTGCTCACTGCTCTCATCCAAGTGTGGTCGGGTCTCGTTTCCGCCTCCACAGTCCGCGGCCGCTACATTGTATAATACTGATATTCGTGAGTTCAACCTGGATTACATAAACTTACGGACGGACTTACTGCCTCCGTATTAAATAAGTTACATTCCTTTTACTTTAAACATATCACATCGAGGATATAACGTATTGCCCAATAATAAAATCTGAATACACTCTGAAGATCATAATAACTAGTGAATATTATATTGCAATTTACGATATCTAAGAGCGTAGATATTGCGTAGTCGAGGTCAGGGGTCGCACACTCGCCGCTGTCATCTGTGATGGGGCAATTGACACATTTGGTAACATCAGTTCTTTCTGCATTCCCTGCGCCTGGCTGGTTGGCATTGCGAGAAAAAACTTTGACAAAATAACCTTAAATGAATTCTAATCTCAGTATATTTATTTCAAATCGAAGTAGACTTTATTCTATACTCATTAGTAGCTATGCTATGGTGACCGAAATTTGACAGTCATTAGTTTAAATTGCATTTTTGAAAGTTAAGTCCAAAAAAGTATAAAAATAATATGAGTTTTATACATACAAGTGCTTTAAATTTATTCAGATGCAAAATAATAAAACAGTAGGTACTCATATACAACATAAATATATATAATAAAGTAACGTTTAAATTGTTTAAGATCGATAGATCTGATATGATAATATAATTTTACATTACGTACAATATTTACTATTTAATTTCGCCATGTTTACCGTTCAAATCTCGCCATATTATAACAGAGTGCTTTGTAAGCGTCGTGACGAAAAAATATTGTTTGAATCGAGGAAAGATCAGAAGTAATTCATCTCTTCTCGTAACTCAGATAAGTCAGAAGTTTGAAGTTCGTCTCAAGAAAAATCTGGGTACCGAGTGTGTGAGATGACCTAGAGTTTCAGAAATAGCTCTATATATAATAGCGCCTTGAGGGCGTGCAGACGTAACTCCTCCGACTGTTTTTGCTCCTCGATTAAAAAAAAAAGTTAGTTGAATGGATACACGGAGGGAAAATTCTTAAAGTCAAGTATCCTTATATCAATGCTACACCTTTGTGGCCAGAAATCAGCATCGATATTTCTTACACAAAACATTTCTTCGTCCGTGCCGGTTGTGTTTGTGGATCACGAACACTGCTTTTATAAATTATACCAGTTAAAATTCACAGACTCTTCAACAGAGCTTTAGTATTCGGTTATCGCCTTTATTATATACATTTATAGGACGATTTATATACGTACTTATTTTTATTTCTATAGATAATAAAAATGGTGTTATAAAAAAGATTTGCTTTGAATTATTATGATGGCATAGAAACTATTCTGGTTTCAGAAATATGTGAAATATATGATTTGATTCTGTTGATAATAATATTTAATTGTTGGAACATAATTTTGATGGATGTTAAAGAATCTTGTTATTTATAACTAATGGTATTTTGCAGCTTAAGAGATAGTTTAAAAGATCAGTCGTAGTCGTAGTCATTAACTTAGTTTAATACTTTTCACAGGTCACAAATAAGCATCGTGACCCCTGACCTTTTTATAAAAAAAATCCCTTATGTATGTATCTTATTTCTCTTAGACAACTATTGAAATTCTGTATATATGTTTCTGAGACTAACTTTGTTTTATTTTGTCGGTACAATCATTTGTCATAGAATGGATTCACACATTTAATGAAAGTGTTTCAGCCAAACATCCTTTGTCAAGGTAGCATTGATCATCACACGTATTTTATTATATTTATATTACATCAACATTTTTATTGGAATTGTCTAACGTCTATTACCTTGAAAACTCCCTGTTGAAAGATGTTAGGTACAGTAATAACTGACAACTTTGGTCGTGTAACAGATCACAATGAAATTAATTTTTAGTCAAATGTGCTTTTGTTAGTGGCGCTTTTAAACTGCTTAAACATATTATTTTTTGAAAATGAAATGTGTCCAATTGACATTAAGAGTCGTTTATGCTTTTCATTACAGGATATTTGTTTCTTCTTATTACTGTTACATTTTTCTCATATATATTTTTTGGTAAATCTTCACTTTTTAGGGTAAAATACTAATAACGACAGCATTAGAATTATCAATGTTATATAGAAAAAAAATAAAAACAACTTCAGTCTAATTCTGTTTTATTTGTAAAAAAACAATACTTTTGAATAAAATAAGAATGCACATGCCTTATTGCCCGGGAAAAGATACGGTCTTCCGGAGCAAGAAGAAGCATTGACGAGGCACGAGTGAGCAAAACTTACGGCACAAGAACATAACGAAAGGCTGAGATAAACATGAGACAGAAACACGGAGTGACAGATCCACGGGTAAGGTAGGTATACATACATAATACAAATACATTTGAGCCTTCTCAGGAAATAACTAATTCCTTAACGGTGTAGATCTCAGAAAATGTATATAGAGTGCGATAAATATAAGAGTATGTTTTGTGCGATCACATACACACTAATACAGTAACGACCAGTCACTAGTTCTTCGTCTGTACCGGCTCCAGGTCGCAGGTCGCCCGCCCCGACCTGGAGGATCCCTCTCGTTTCATTCTTCTAAACCTATGCACGTGGAATGTTCGTCGAGTCAGCGTCGTCTGAGCTGGGATACCTGGCGGCGCGAGGAGGCCCGCTGCCGCTGCTTGACTAGCTCAATTGTTTACTTATTGTCCGTGTATTCACGTTACACTCACTAAAATAAATAACTTACCACTAACACGAAAAGCTTGTTTAACTCTTACATAACATCGCTACGACCGCCGACCGGCCGCGACCTCTATTATAAATAATTTGTCCAACTACGATACAATTAATAAATTCAATCGATCCTCTGGCGTCTACTTAACGTACGTGTATAAATATATCAATTGACAGACAATCGAATTAATCTGATATGGAATACATAAACTACGAACGTAATAGTCTCTACGTAACTTATAGTTTCAATAACGAAACTTAATATCTACCGAATACTAATGAGCGGTGACTCGGCCGAGGCAGCCGGCCACCGGCCGCTGGCCACATGTTACTGCGCGACGCTCGGCTCGGCTGTGGATCCTTCCGAGGACTCGGACCCCATGAAGTGGACCTCTGTAGAGGTCTCAGCCTCTGTTGAAGTATTGTTCTCGTCTATATCTTTAACCAAGGCAGGTTCGGCCGTGGTTCCGTCGTCCTCGGCGGAGAATTCGTCGTTCTTCAAGACGACCTTGGTGGGTCTCCTCTGTATGGTCGGTACGTATGACTGAGTTATAATCTCTATATCTTTTTTACCCGTTATTTCGGTTTTGTTTTCAACTTTGTCATCTGACACGTTATCGATGAGGGTCCGGCGAGTCGTTGGTTCCACTTTATCATATGGCGGAGGAGAGTCCGTTATGGTGTCGGCGTCCTCACCCTCTATTTCAACAACTTTGTGTTTGGAAACTTTAGTTTTGAACGGCACCTCAGTTATGGAGTTCTGATTCCAATTTTTATTTTTGCTCTTGTAGCTTGACGCTACATTGACTGGAATCAATTCCTCGGAATCTGAGATGGTTGTAGGTTTCAATGTCTGTCGCTCGAGGTCAGGTTCCTCTGTGTGATCACTTATCGAAGCTACGTCACCAACTAAATTAATCAGATCCGTGAGAACATTTCTTTTCCGTCCACCTGATGGATCGATCAAAGCTGAGTTTCTGTCACCATCAGAAACCGGATTTATTAACTCAACGGGATCCGTAGTAGTTTCCTGGGATCCAAAAGACGTGAGTATGAATTCTGTAGTTTCTGAATTTTCAAAAGATTGGTCTTTTAATTCTATTGGTATATTTCTCGATACGGTATCAATCTCAGACTCATTAAGAATTGATTGCAAAGACGTTAATTCTAAAGAGTTCACAGTAGAGTCCATCGTATCGTTTCCTTCCTTTTCTATAGTTTCATGCGGGTTCTGGTCACTGGTTTCTATAGGAATAGAACTAAACTCGGTTTGAGAAATAATGTCAGTGGATTTGTATAAAGAATTCGTCGTCTCGTCCGAAAACTTTCCATTACTTGTCATTAAAGATTCTGTAAATCCTTGGTCTACTTTAGGAGTAACGGCTTCACTGCTACTTAGACTATCCTCATATTCTTCGGGGTTTGAGGATGTAACATTTTCTTCCGCATATGACATATTTGTGTATGTAGCAGGTTCTTTATTTTCTTCAGAGGTACTGAGAAAATATTCTGTTGAATTAAAATTTTCGCTAGTAGAAGATAACACTGCAGGATTTTCTGTAACATCTAACAATTCTCCAGTTCCCTCGTCCGATATTAAAGAAGGGGCGTTTAAAATTTCTGTCGGGATTACAGATCGCATATTTAACATAGGATTATCTTTTATGATTGGTGATGGTGTATTATCGATTAATCTATGTGTGCTGGTTTCAATACTTTCCAGCGAATTCTCCTTCGTCACTACAGCTGCACTAGAGACGAGAGTTAGTGTGGTAGCTTCTTTGAAGATCGGTGCCTCAGTTACAACGGGAGATGCAACATTATTCACCTCATGATCCATTGCTAAGTGCTCAATATCCAAGTTTTGTTCTGGTAATATTTCGTCATCGTGATTAGTTAATACTGATAAATCATCAGGTATAGGCGGGAAGGCGGGATTGTGATCGAGAAAAGATAAATCTTCTTCTTCCATTACAGGTGCTTTAGTAGTTAAAGATGATACGTGAGAGTCTGGCTCGGAAGGAGATCCCATCATCGCCATTACATTTGATATTTTAGACAATGAAAAATCTTCATTATTAGTGTCGACGGTTGACACACTGATCTTTGTAGGAGTCCCGTCATTTGGATTTTCGGAATTCACTGGATTATAGTTAGCAGGAATCTTAGACGATAGTGAAGCAGAAGACATGACCTCTTTTGTATCGGCTGACTCTTGTTTTGCACCTGATTCTGTGTCATTAATATTTTTCTCAGAGGTCGCCTCCCGAGCTATCAGTTGAGATTTCGGAGATGTATATACTTCTACTTCTTCGATGCCAGGAGAAGGTAAAATTTCTTTAATTTTTACATCTGTTACAGGAATTTCAGAGACGGGTGTGATTTCCTTTATAGTGATGACAGGCTTTGGAGGTTCCACGGGTTCAGCTGGTGCCACGCTACTCTCAGCATCCTCCACAGATGACACACTTGACGTTGAAGCCATACCAGGTAAAGATGTTACACCTGAAACAAGAAGCATAAATAATTTAAGGATTTTAAAGATTATTAACAACACATAACTTTAAGAAAGCTTTAATCACTGTACTAAAATTCACTGTAAAAATAAAATTTTTTAAAAATTCTAAGATATATTCATAAATGAAACAAATATTTTCGGATTTACTTCGCGCTTTTATTTTTGAGTGAGATGCGAGTGTCACACTCACATCTCGTCTGTCTGTGATCACGGTTGCTGAAAAGTAGCTGAAACGTCGGTAATATGTAGTTTATAGTCAAAAATAAAAGCGCGAAGTAAAATCGAAAATATTAGTTTCATTTAAATGAGTACTCGCGAAAATCTTAGATCTCATTATATTCATAAATATAAATTTTACAAAAAGTTTCTCTATTTTAAATATAATCAGTTAAACTGATGATAAATATATTTGCAGTAGGTACCTCTGAGCGGACAGTTGTCATACTCGGGGCAGCAGCGGCCAGGCACGAGCCGCGGGCGACAGTCGTCCCGGAGGAAGCAGGCTATCCTTCGACACACCACCTCCCCACCCTGACAGTAACACACGCGGCACGGGTCGTGAGGGTCCACCAGCTTCTCTCCGTTCCCGTAGATGCGGCCTTCTTGTTCGCATTCTGAGAATTTGTTTACGTGAAAGCGAATTTTGTTTTAACATACCTTGTAACTGCACGTCAAGCGGCAAAAAATTCATTTTAGAATCAAGTTTTACTAGTTCTATCATTTTATGGATTACTTAACATTTAATGACTAACGTTCTGACTAGAAAGTGATTAGATTATCTTATCGAATCTTGTATGAGCAACAGTTGCAGTTTAAAAATGATTTATATGATACATATGTACGGAATGTATTAAGTAATATCTGTGTAATATGATGCAGCTCACCAGTGTACAGTGGACTGGACAATCAAGAGCACTCACCACACTGATAGGTCGGACAACAGTGGTCGGGGCGATGGACAGCTTTACAGCCAGGTCGAGGTTCACAGCGCTGCTTCTCACAAGCCACCTCCCCAGCAGTACAGGCGCAGCGCTCACAGGCGCTGGACCCGGGGAACGAGTCGCCCGACATGTACACCACGTCCCCGACGGCGCAGCTCCCTGGAAATACAGAAACACTTATAAGTTACTGTTTCATCACCCTTGAAGCTCTCTTATTAAATGGAAGTCGAAGCTTCCCATTGTCGCATACGTTACACATATTCTGATGATGTAAATTAACCATTTTCTCATAAAATTATATTCATTCCAAAAAAATAGACCAGAATAAACTTTCGTTTCTATTAGCGAATGTGTAGCAATAACTTCACTTCTGATTCCTCCACATACTTTAATATTAATGTAAATTTACCTTGTTTTAGTCCAATATCAACCATCGTCACATTTGGTAGAGGACCTGAAATAGAAAATAACTGAATTATGTATCTGATTATATGAGGTTTTGTACATTGATATAAGTTAAAAAAAGTGTAAATATGTTGAATCTTTCTCATCTTATACTTCGTTCAATACTTCTTCAGGAAAGCTTTCAGGAACCTTGAAGAAGGGAAGGTTGTGTTGAACACACTGCTCCAACATGTCTGAAGGATGGGATCTTTGGGGTTTGTATTATAAAAAAAATAAAATTGAAATCACGGTTTTATCATAATGTAATCCTTTTATAACGTATTTTCCTAAAAAGGAAGTTTTCTTCAATGAAGTTAATAAATAATATAATGCTTGTTAAAAATAAATTATATGAATGATTGCAGTCTGTTCCGTATATGAGACGAGTTATTTTATTGAGTTCCGTGCGCTTCTGGTATAAAAACCAAACTATATTTTGTGCTGTATTTTGAAATTACGGAAATTAAACAATTTCAATTATGGTCTTTAAAAATAAAGCAAAGTATTCTACTGTTTTATGAATTATTGAGGTCACGCAAGCAAAACTTGATGATGGACGGCTTCAAGGTTAGAGGATGACAGGAGTCAAACATTAATTGTGTTATTGTGGGCCCAGGTTTTAGCATTCAGAATTTATTCAGTTTCTAGTGCTTCGACTTGTTGATCATTTCAAAACAGTCACACTAAAATCCATTCTAGTTATTGTCTATATTCTCAACATTTACGATGTTTCATCTTGTTCTATACTTTATATAATTTTAAGTATACTCCTATAACGTTTCCTTTCAATTCAGTACGACTTATTAAATGATCAATAATAACTTGAGGTCTTGCTTCGCGTCTCATTAATTTAATATTGTCATTTACAGTTACTCATGGATAAAAATCTTTTCAAATCTTTACTTTGTTCGATTAGCCTAATTTTATTGTCTAACTATCAATCATCGCCCTCAATCGCTCCTCGAATGATCAGAATTTCTGTTTTGGAATTGTGAGTGTATTAAATATCCCAGATAACGAAATTAAAGTATGTCTATTTAGTTTAAACATTTGTGTATATCTTTTCCTATATATTAAATAGTCAAAGTATGTTTACGTAAGCCGACACAGAAGCTAGCCGGTCAGTTAAACTAGTAGAGTAACAATGCGTGTACATCAATAATACGTAAGACTGTGGCCAGTGTTGCTTCACACGAGTGTAGCGGCTGACCACACGCGGCAGGTCGGTCGACTGTGACTTGAGTGTGAGTGGTAAGTGGTAGCATCAATCCTCCGTCTCGTTACGTGCTACTTATATAACACTTTACATTTAGTTGTAAACAAACAAATTAGTCTTAATAACATTTTATTAATCATGTTGTCTGTTGGAGTATATGAATGTATAAAGGTTGAATACATTTATATATTATAATTGTACTTCTGTGGTCAGAGATGAGATGCCCCTGTCCATACCCGGAAATTGTAACTTAAAGGATGCTGAGTCTTCTTACTGTACCGGCTATGTTCTGTTGGCTTTACTAAACAGAAAATACGATAATACAACACCAAAAGTGTGTTGGATGATGGATCTATTCCCTTGACCCCTTGTATTATAGACAAAATATTATTTTATGATAATTCTAAGATGTTACTTTTTATTGAATCTAGAGAAGTTAATTGTAAAGAAAAGACATCAGCTAGAGTATGTTGGTTATTTAAGTAAATTGGCTACAGATTTAAACGTTAAATATTCTTATTTTACAAAACTAAAATATAAACAAACAAAACAAAACGGAAACCTTCTTATAGAGCTGTATTAAATTAATAATTTTATGTGTTGCAAAAAATAACATTATTTTCACTTTTACTTTGTATAACAGGTCAGGTGAGCTGTCAAAATGTTCATACACAGTTGGATAGATTGAAACATGAATAATTAGCATTCACTGTATGACAGATAGTAATGTGTCCAGTATCACATATATAATACATGCGATGGTATTTTATTAATATTTAATTTATACATTAAAATATGAACATTATTGTAGTATAATCATAATAAATGATTCATTATAATAATTAATATCATGAGTTCGACACAATTTTCAGTTGCATTCGTTCTAGTTCATTCATAGGGCAGAAATTGAACGATTTAAAAACACGTAAAAAGTAGATATACATTTAGAGACTCAAATAAAGCACTGTGTAATAAAAAGTTACAAATACAATGGCACAGTCGGTTTTAAAACTGTAATGCCTATTCAATTATCGTATATTGACCGTGTCATGTTGACGCAGATGCGAGGTATTCAATAAGACGCAGTTCTAGACTTTACTTGTTAAAAATCAAACAAAGTTGGAACAACGCGAACAGAGGAAGTAAACAAACAAGTGGAGCAGAGATCGTATATACAGGGCGAGGGTGTCGGGTGTCGAGTGTCGAGTGTCGGATGGCTGGTGCTGGGGGTCAAGAGGTCGACATTGACCGACCCGCCTCCACACGACCTCTACCCTCACCCAGGAGTTATCACATTACAGTGAAGTAACAAGTTTAAAGCTGTGGCTGTCTGTTTATAACGGTCACACTCAAGGTTTTTATCATACTTATGAATAGTATTAATGTCAATATTAAACAGATTTTTTTTTATGCTAAAGGAAGAAACAGGGTAGACTGTCTACCTGATGAAGGTATTACCATAGATTGGAAAAAACTTCCAGAAGTAATCAGTTATTACAGCTCATCTACATTTATTTTACTTGTTCTGGTTATATGTTCAATATTTAAAACGGACTAAAGTAACTAAAGGACACATCATAGAAATAAAGTCTTCGTTTGAAATTAATAAACGATTTGTAACGGAAAATAATTTAATGTGGCATGTCTTAATGAAACTTCGGTGATCTTCAAACGAATCTTGTTCATTGTTCACTAAAAGCTTCCTCGTGATATAATCATTTAAATATTTAAGGCATGCAAAAACTTAGATATGAGGAAATGTACGTCTCTAAGATGTACCAGTATTATCGTACGAAACATTTCACTCTATTATCTCATCCACTAAATAAAATGTGTATTAACGAAGGGAAACAATATTATTATGGTAAACCTAGCGTGAAGATCTATATAACATAGTGTTAGGTATTATATAGACTACTGGGATTTTAATCAGATCCTCGATGCTCTCCATCACCCTCAAAATCTAATTATATCAGCAGGCCGGTAGCGGGGGAAGAGGACAGGCTTCATGACCGCGGGCTGGTTGTCACCGGACCTATCGACTTACGCATTATAAGCAATTTTACGCTCGTGTTCATATTTTACTATTCTGCAAACATTTTTATACTTGTATAACTGTTAGGACGGATCTCTTTGTATTATTCTTCTAGTATTTCATTCTAACTCAATGTTATCATCATCATATCGAGACAGACACATTTGATACGTCACAACATTCCTAGCAATAAGAACTTTAGTTTTATAATGAGTTTATTATATATGTAATCCATTATAATAATAATTGTATCTTCCTTAATGTAAACTGAGAACTCCTCGGTATCATAACACTCTATGATTCACGTGTCGTGTGTCGTGTGCCGTCGGCTCGTCCTCGTGTCGTGTCACCGCCGTGTCGTATTCACTCAAAGGTCACGTTTTTGCGTTCTCTGTCAGAGTCGACCTCTACGATTATCGTTTTCGAATACTTTATTGATAAAAACATTGGACATTATGAATGTTCTAACACGTTTACATCAGTAATGGACACCAATTAAAATGAAATGTTATCAGATTTATAATTAACGAGTGTTTCAGACAGCATCAGATAATGCAGACAGATGAACGAACAGTCAGTCATATGTGTATATAGAAACAACGAAGTTAAGTAAGAGCATGTGAAAAGTATTTAAAGAACGTAATAAAATAACTCTTGAGCAAGCGTGGTGATTAATGCTCAAAACCTTCTCCATGTGAGAAGAGGCTATGCTCAGCAGTGGGCGTTGATAGGCTGATGACACAATAAAATAACTGATCGGCAGGTTGTGTGGAGACGGGAGGGCGAGGACCCGTGACCGGTCTCATGTACCCTTAACGTAATTAACGTTAATATTAAGTAATTCAGTGATTTCCGTGAAGCGGATGAGTAATGTGGTTCAGGGTCGCGCTTAAATTATTCAGAACGAACCGTCTCGTCGGAGATGCGCGGACGGAACGTGTTGTATCATCTCAAGCACAAAAAATATAACAAAATACGTCGTTAGAATTCATACGCGAGGTCCTAATACCGCGGGCCGATACTGTTCTGACTTAGAATAAGGAAGTTAAAATGAAACGCGCGACTGAAATATCCATTTCTTTGTTACTATTAACGAAATGAGTGTTTATTTTTTGTTTTCCTTGTGTAACCATCGATGTATGTCGGACAACACGATGACGTCTAACCCTGCAAGGACCACACGGAGGTCCTAGACACAAACTGTCACGGCAGCGATCGATAACACCCTCACACCCTCACCCGCACCCTCCACCCTCCACCCACCACCCTCAATCGGTCGCTGTTCGCGGAAGTCATGTTATTTACTAGTAACTGCACATTGATACATACAGGCGGCATTCTATTCATATATTTCATATAAATGATCAATAATTCACGACGCATTTTAATTAAAATATTTGAAATGCAATAAATGTAAATGTCAAGATAACAAATATATCGGAGTGGATCGTATACAGGTGATCTTGTTTTTATTATTTTCTTTAAATAACATCTCATAAGTCGACCGTAATATGTTGTACGGGCGTGTTATAAGAATACTTTTTAAGATCAATAATTTGTTTTAACCTGAAGTCTCTTCATGAATCTCGTAACGACTTCAGCCAATTTTTATCATAACAGTTGACCTCGTATATGTATTTCAAAGCGGGATGTTCAATAATATTAAAGTAATAGCCTCACGTTATCTTTATACATACATCATGCAGTACTCCTAAATGTACACTCTGAGTTCATACCTCTGATCACACGTAACTACTATTTTAAAACTACAATTAGTCAGTATCCAATACATCTACACCGAGTTCGTGACAAAACACATAAGTTCAACAACAAACAATGAATTATGAAAGTATGAATATAATTAAACGATGTATTAACTAATACTTAATGTTAAACTAAGAAAATGAGTGTATGTTGTAAACGTAATGATGAATTAAATATTTTATAACTTCCAAGTAAGTTACTTTATTCTTACTTCTTCGTAATCAATCTCAAAGATAGTAACTTAAATATACTCCCAACTCTTCTCTAGCACAATCCATTGAAATGTCTCGAACGATTTCTGAGTCTATATTGTTTCTACAACTTTATAAAATATATTTAAAGCGACGTTATATTTGAGTTGTAAATATTTGACGGACACAAAGTTAATATTAAATAACAAATATTACAGATTATATAAGTTGTGTGATGAAACAACGACGTGAGGCCAGGCGGTGGAGAGACGAGGGACATGAGACACGAAACGTGGACTAAGATACATACTATGAGGAGTATACTTGTAGTTCCGAGATCATTAAAAATAGATTTAAAATGAAAATATTAGTACGTGAATTACGGAAAGTATCGTTGTATTGAAAGTGGCAGTAAGGCAGAAACGTCACAATAATATACATCAATGGTCAATTAAACGTATGAGTCATATGAGGCAGGCCCGTCCCGGCCTGGTGCATTCTGTCCCGGGCCGTTCCGGGCCTATTCGTTGTAACGTCCCGCGTGCAGCGTGACGACACGACAGCTACACGGAGCCGACGTGGGACGTGACCGGAGAACACTCCCCGACACATTAATAATGTCCTCAACTAACAACTTGAATGTGTATTGTTGGTTTTAATATATTTATAATTATTACACCGACGTCTGACTGACGAGTGACGAGTGTATACATGTATAAAGAATTGATTCTCCTTACTTATAAATAAACATTCTATTCTTATATAACAAGACCAATTATAACATTATCCGTTGTTATAACGAGAAGCTTTACACAAAACATAGTTAATACATTTTAAAGGAAATTTACAGTAACACTAGAAGACCCGGCGAACTTCGAACTTTTTTATCGCCCCATAATCAAGATATATCTGTTACGTTTTTTTATTTATATTTTTGGAGTTTACCTATTAAAGCCATAAATCTCCGTGTTTTGAAGTGCGACAGAATGGTTGACATATTAGTAAGTTGTCAAATCTAATGCCAAAAAAAACTTTTGTATCAACAACTACTAATAAATTAAAAATTAATTGAAAAAACATTCTCCAGCGGACAAAATTGTGAATCTAAACCATTCTCAGATCCCCTTGAACACACACAAAAAATTTCATCAAAATCGGTCTAGTCGTTTGAGAGAAGTTCAGTGACATACACACTCACAGAAGAATTATATATATAAAGATAAGAATTTCTTCCCAAAACTCCGTCAGTTCATAGCTGGCGGTTGGTTACCATATACCAGTCTTAAGCATACAATATAAGAATCAAATTCCTTTGTAAAAGGAGAGGAAGTCGCGAGTAAGAGTTAGTATTTATATAATATGAAACAACTGGAACAATGTTTATATTAAAAGGATACTCATATTTTAACATTACATTATAAAGTCATGTTGACGGATTGTTTCCATTACTCTGTATACGTCTGTGTGTGTCTAAAGTTATAAAACAGCATCCCTTACAAATCGTTTAGGTGGTAGAGCCTAGCTGTAGTCAGTTACTACAGCTCGAACATGGGCTGGCTCGACCGGGGAAGTACCACCCTCTCACAGAAGATCGGCGTGAAGTAGCCTTTAATGGCTGCGTTTCGTCCGATGAGTGAGAGAGCCGGTTGCCCTTTCCCTATTCCCACCCTTTCCTACCATTTCCTAATTCCCACCCCTCCCTATCCCTAAAAAACAAGGTTGGCAACGCATCCGCAACAAAATGTTGCGGATGTCAATGGGCGACGGTAACCACCTTCCATCAAGTGGGCCGTCTGGTCGTTTGCCACCTTTCACATAAAAAAAAAAAAAAAAAAAAAAAAAAAATCGTAACATTTCATCTTTCATTGTTTTCCATCAAAATTAAACTAACACGATTGAATCATTTACTGAATCTATACTAATATTATAAAGCTGAAGAGTTTGTTTGTTTGTTTGTTTGTTTGTTTGTTTGTTTGTTTGAAAGCGCTAATCTCCGAAACTACTGGTTCGAATTGAATAATTCTTTTTGTGTTGGATAGTCCAGTTATCGAGGAAGGCTGTGGGCTATATAACATCACGCTACGACAAATAGGAGCAAAGATATAGTGGTAAATGTGTAAAAAACGGGAGAAATTATTTCATCTTTGAAGCCTTCCGTTGGGTGCGCCGTGAAAACGGTTTAAGATACACAAAAAATATGTATTAAAGAATAATAGCTCTTTTAATGATCTAAAAAACAGTCCGCGACAGTATATGTCTATCTTTTAAGATTAACTCACAAAAACCGTTTTTATAGTACCTAATTTGGTCGAAATAATTTGTTTAAGTTGTATCAACATAATAATATTAATCTTTATTCAAATAAATATGTTGTTGGTTAAGAGAACTTCATTGTGAATAAAAAAAACATAGGTTTTATCCTGAACTCGACCATTCCGAAAACCCCGAAAGAATGCGAACTATGTGGGAAGAACCAAAAATCTGCCGGAAGTCACTATTCCACGCGGACGGAGTCGCGGCAAAAGCTAGTATCAAATAAGTATGATTGTTATTTAACATGACCGACAGTTACCCTAAACCTCTCCGCCCCCCACTCCGAGTTCAAGATCATCTCTAGATTTCCCCTGACTACAATAACACCGCCTCCATGTGACACAAACGTCTACTGATAATTACTTCAATTATGTTGAAAATGAATATACTGTATTGTAATATTTGATTATGGCACGTATTACGCTGTACACCGAGCACTGTTCAAGACAACCTTGTCAGCTGTACACTGATTATTCTTTGCACAGCTTGATAACTTAATAAACATAGCAACTCTTAAATATCCTTATTTTATTGTTTCAAAAGGCCTTCGAGAATAACATTTATTTAGAGAATCACAGAGAAGATTTTGCGATCTTAAAAAATAATGTCAATATGTAATCATGATAATAAATGTTTTCTAAATAAATAAAATTTTCTAACAAAAGAAAGAATTTATAAAATGATTACTACCTACGATATAAATACTAGTTTAATACGATACGATATACTTACTAGTTTAGATTACGATATAATTACTAGTATAAGTACTAGTTAATATAAATACTAGTTTGTCTTTCTATTTTGTCAGTCATTTAATAATTTTAAAAAGATATTGATATATATACTGTACTATATTTATTAACATTTTATTCATTATATCAGTAATTTAGTGAAAAATCTCGAAAGCCAAAAAGTACATCTATATTTAATTTACTAAAAACAAAACAGACACGATTCCTATCGGTGGTTCTATTAAAATATTAAATATTCGAATAAACAGTTGAGTGTTTTGAGTTTTTCTAAATGATTCAGAGTAACTGTTTCCTCTTAATTCTATTCATGTTCAATAAATGTAAGTACAGTAAACATTGTTTCTTTAACGATAGCGAGAACACTGAGTAGCGTTAGTTATTTGTTAAATTGTATATATCATCACAACGCGCCTGCAGTGTATGAGTGTATGTACCGCTGCGTGCTAAACGTCACTTTAATACGTGAACGTGCTCGTTACGCCTAGCCATCGATAATAACTTGATCACTAGCAGTGTGTGAGAACATTCAGACTCACCTGCGGTACTTAATGCCAGGTTGATGGACACCAGCAGCACGGAGAGGTGGACCCCGGGAGACGACATGACGCCCTCAGAACTGAAACAGAAAGAAAACAATTAGATATGTAGGTACACACAGGCAGAGGTATCGTGACCAGTTAATGATGATGTCGACTGTAAAAGGGACAACGTTATTATTTAATTTATAACCGGATGTTTATAAATAGACGTCATTTAAGTGTATGCGATTATTCAGATGCGAAGATATGATATTTAATTTAAAAGCATTAATAAACATGGCCTCATCTCAAAGCAAATATCGCCATTACGACGGGCGAGATATAAAATATGATTACTCAATCAATAAGGCGACGCCATGTAATTACATATACGAGGGAGGATTCAGGCCGTGGGAGAAACTGGATCCCGGAGGATGCGGCGCAAAAAATATAGGCAGGAGGAGGCAGCGAGGGCGGTCAGCGACCCGGCCGGCGCGGCGGTCTAGACTCTAGACCAGCGCCACGGTCTAGGTCGACGTGACGCGAGTCTGCGCCGGCCGCTAACGTGCCCTAAGACTATGTAATTACTTTTTATTGGCCGACCAGTAAAGATGTAATAGGACAGAGCGAACCGGCCGCACGCATTCCTGTCCACGGCGGCGCTCCGGCACCGCACTCACTCGCTCGTAGGAATAAACGAAGTTTTTGTTGTGATGTATTCACGTTTCATTTACATCGGAGTATATAATAATGAGCGTCATTACACAGACGGCGTCCATCAGCACGGACTCACCACACTCACATGTACATGTGGCGGACTTCCTCGATCAATTAAAGATAATAATATCTGCGCGCGAGGTCCCGCTACCACAAAAAACCCACACATTTAGAAAGTCCGATCTCCGCGTCGCTCCTCCGGCCTGTCACTTTCCAATTGGGATAACGATGTGAACGGGGTCGGATCCCGCGACCCGAACGATCCAATATATATAAATGTAACAATTGAACAACGGGGTCACATAACGGCCGAGTCGCCACCCGCCGTCCACCGACTTAAACGAATAACCGAGGTTTGAACTGAATTAAACTCTTACCAGTAACGAGATGTGTCTGACGCTGTTTATAGAGTACACGATCCAGAACACAGAGAACGTGAAACATACCCACTGTATGTTATATGATTGTGTCGTCGGGGGCGAGATGGCCGGCTCCGGGTCCGAGCGGTAGTTATTTTCCAATCGTTTCGTTCCCAATTGAATAACAGCCGGCGGAGAGCGACTGCCGCAACCTTCCGTGTGAAAGTTCATGGGTGACCGGTGACTCAGTCAGTCACTAACTCGCCGCTGCCAGGACACCAGCCGGGGAGGCTCGAAGGTCGACGCGGCACAAGGCTGACGTCTCTTACTACCTTATTACTTACATCCGAAATAAACTAATTGATACCTACTTATAGTCACATGTATTAAAGAACGTCTGTCATTTGTAGTATCGTTATTTATTCAAGTTCTGTATGGAAGGAATTTTTATACATTAAGATTATTTTCCGAGAAGTAATTTTTATGATTGTCATACGTATTGTCATGACATATAGAGCTTCATACTACACGCAGATCGCAAGTATTCTTATTATAATATAACAGTAGATGTGGATGTATGGCCGGTGATTATGATTATGTTATCGAGATCGTTATTAATGATTGATAATAAATTACATTTTGTTTATTAATAAAACTACACACAGTCAATACTCCGAGTGTTACTAATGCGTGTTATCGGTAGATTGTTCAGCACGTCTCCGTGCCTGGCTCGTCCCACATTCAGAGTCGGCTTGTGTTATTCGGACACCAGTTTTAACCGTTCAATATGCATGTATAAGGATATTTTTTTTGTCAATTTGCGACACATTCCGAGATATCGATCGTCCCCGAGCGTTGACCCAATAAGAGTCCAAAAAATCGTGAAGCTAGCGGTTCTGGCGCCACCGTGACATCAAAACGTGGAGCTGCGATGTTTTTTGTTCAATTTAGTATTTTGATTAGATTGCGGTCCGATTGGTTTTTTCTGTCTCGGCCGGGTTGATGTTCTCTCTCGCCACCTCCAGTATCTTTTTGTGAGTCAGTTTTCTCTGGAGTCGGTTATGTGAGGAAGTTCACCTTAGTTTACATATATTAGACTTGCTCCTCACTGACACACGGACTGACGATCGTTATACGTATAATGAAATGGAAATGGCGAGTGACGTCATCCATGCTGGACGGCCGTGTGTCCTAACATGGGTCATCCTTGTAGCAGTAAATGTAGTTTTTCTCGAGTTTATTTATACGAGACAAGTTCGATACACACTCCTCGGCGTGTATTCGCTTCATCTATTATAAAATGTGGCTATTTTTTGCACAAACATTAATTAGCTCGTAAGTAAAATTTATTTCAGTCTCCCATATATATTTTTTATTTCATGGGTTTGACAGACAATTTTAAGTTGACAAAAAAATATGCATTCAATGTTAATATATGAGTTTGACGTCAATAAGCTCTTGAGTCACGGCGGTTCGTGAGCATTTATTTTTTCATATATCGATGTAGTATTTGTGTGTCAGAATAACGTTTGAAGATAACTAGGAAGTTCTCAGTGGACTGCCAGACTACACACAAACATCTTATAAAATAACACTTAACATGTGTACACACGTCACCAGACGAACGATCAAGTGAGTTACAAAGCCTCTCTTAATATTGTTAGAACATTTCCTGACAATCTCTCTATATTTCTGTCATGTCTCCACTGTCCACTTACTTCTATCCTCTACAACCGATCTCTTCTTTTCTCCTAAATCTTTACCAGCAAAGTCTCCAACCGCTCCCTCGCCACAGGTCAACCGTTTTACAATAATTGGAAGCTTGATATAGTTTTAACGAGTAAATTAACTTTATTCCACATTTCCGCTAGCAGGAAAAGCTGAACAAGCAACACGTAAAACAAACACGCTGTATAACCGTGACGCGCGTCCAACACACACAATACACTGAACACATTCGACACACAGACAATAGTCATTGTCTTCTGTTCTACTAATTGATCTGTAACCAGTCTTTATTTATTTTATTTTAAACATGTATTGTTCCCACTTAATTTAATACGTACACGGTACACCGCGCGTACAGAAGCACTTCCTTTGACCATCATTTATTTGACATACAAATTGATGAAGTTTTTTTTTTTTATATATAATTATACTAATGAAGTTTTAGTAATTTTTATGTGAAGATCATTGTATGAGATTATCACAGCATCTTTACAAGCCTCACAGTTCCATAGTAACAACAAGTTTAAAACTCGTACGAGTTCCAATGTGTCTGTTTGTGAAAGTCTAACAATCTCACGATTTGACCCCTGACCTTAGATTGACCATAATATATAGAGCATAAAAAACGCTTAGTCATTATAAAATTAAAAAAAATTTTACATTCTACCATACACAAACTCTATCTCTTGTTGATTGGGATACTTTTAAGGTATGTAGTACTCAATCATGTACAAGTTGAACTAACATAAGTCTTCGAGAATGTCACCATTAGGTATACAGTCTCTTGAGGTGACTCCACAGAGCATTACAGACTCCTTCAAAGGAAACTACATGAGGAATCTGGCTGTTAGTGTGATGTCCACGTATATAGGTAATGTAATGAGTATTACATTTGTATCTTAGACTGATATTTTCCAACAATTGTATGTTTCAGAATTTATTGTTAATATAAAAACTCATTCAAATGATCGCAAGTCGTGTCTCAGACCTCATTATTCATATAAACTAATCTTTTAATACAACGACACTGTTTATCTCACGAACAATCTATATAATGTATAAATAGTCATTATTATAAATTTATTTATGCATTTCTAGGAGTCTCTTCACGGAGGAACGACGAGGAAAGACCTGATTAGTAATTAGGACTAACAAATATAATATAGATATAAATAAGATAAAAGCGCCTTACGAAAAACACGACCAGTGACCGGCGGAACTACGAAATATGATGTCGTTTGTTTTGTAAACCAACAGGCGCAGGTTTAACGGCCGCCGACTTGTCAATGACCCAGTTAGATCGTCACATCTAGTACGCACCCGAGACACCATACACATCAACACACCGACCTGACACGCCAACATGATCCTTTCTACACACTAACAGGGGCTACAATGGCGTATGGAGCTATTAAAATCGAAAATCATTGCCGACACTGTATAATGATTTTATTGAGAAAGTACAAGCTATTATGATCCTTGACCCGATCGTGAGATGGGTCTGTTTCGCGTGATGTTATCGTCAAATCGCATACCTGCCCTCAGCCACCGTTTAACAGACAGCTGCTAATGTAAAGATTAGTTAAGGGGCTCGTGGATACTTAATTAATATATGACGCATTATTATAAACTATTAAGATATATTGTTGATACAATTCCGTTGTTTTGAGACCCGTTTAACGAGATGTGTTCATTGTGAAATTCAGTTTCAGAAGTAATTGTTCAAAGCCGTATAATATCGTTAAACGTGCGGAGTGCGTGAAGGTGGTCGAGACTGTGACCAATCGATGTGATATTTATTAGTTTTGGTAGTTCTCATACTAATTATAATAGTTTCCATTCTGTGCTGTTATATGACGCATTCAGCAGCTATTCGATAACAAAAAACACGCTCGCCACGGATTCTCAAACTAATATATTACTATAAACCCAAAAACATAATGTATATAAAATTTTTATATAGTTAGGTAAATTAAATTCTAATACGGTCACTTAAACTAGACATGATAAAATAAAATAAATAGGGCGCTGTGTAAGACAATCTTCTCCAATGGTACATTAACGAATATTAAACACATAACAACAAAGGACTTCCAGTAATAATAAATTAATTAGTATTAACAGTTGTCACTTAAGTAGCCAAATTATTTATAGATTATTAAAAGTAATATAGGCGATTGTATTTATATTGTAGTTGTACAATCGATCGAGCCTCGCCGTGGTAATGACCGTCAACATTGGTTTATATATAAACATAAATGTCAACTACTTAATACAAGAATTAACAAAAATATCAGAAAAAGTAATTTTTAATAATAGATTACTGGTAAGATATATCCGAAGCCAGTGACGTGACGTAACTACGATTAAATTCACTTCGTCTGACAAATCTACAAGGTGACGTATAGCCCGTTCCACAATTTCGACGCACCGCTAACAGCTGAGGTGTCCGAGTGGTTAAGGAGTTGGACTTGAAATCCAATGGGTTTTACCCGCGCAGGTTCGAATCCTGTCCTCAGCGGACTTTTTTTAATTTTTTTGAAACAATTTTTTTTTTTAGATATTAATTAGCAAAATATTTTTTTATCTTTTCGACTTTATTATTATTATTTTTTTATGTTAAATTAAATTTTACTACTATTAAATCTTTCGTGTTTGACGTTAACTATGACTCTATATATTGTGTGTACGTATTTGGTTATTTTCTCCACATTACATCACTGTATTATATACTGATTGTATTTCTTCAAACGACCCATTCTACTTCACACCGTTCATTATATACATCGATCTCCATCTATCCGTACATTATATATTTAAGTTTATTAATCAGTTACAGTTATTTTCCATTGTATGTAGTATACGTTCAGAGGTTCATCACGGGGCTTGAAGTGCCGAGGAACGTGGAGTCAGCGATTATTTGTATCGGGAAGTAATGTTAGCAAAAAGAAATAGTTTGATCGAGATACAAGATGAAGGTTTTGTTATATAGAGCTGTTTGTCTGTCACGATGTACGTCCACGCTTGACACTAAAGTTAGCCTAAATGTTGTCTATGAGACATACCTCTGTCCGTGTGTGCGTGTGTGTGTGCGTGTGCGTGTGTCAGGACGCGACCTTCGGTGTCGAACGGTAAAGGAATTTAAAGCGAGCTTCATAAACACCTCTGGTTTTCCTTTTACACAAACATTCATTCAACAGGCGACGAGTCATGATGATAATAAATTAATGACCAATACGTAACGTCTAAACTATATTTATGTGAACTGTCAGGTTGTTCTTAGAGGGTCTCCTGAAGCTACTAGTGTGTGATGAACAGACGAACCTGTCCTAAGACGTCATTTATTACGGATTGGTGAACCTGTACCCTGTACGCTCTTCTTTAGGATATGCAAATAGTTTCCGAAATTATATATGTATTATGGACATTTCTTATTTTGGAAACGAAACATCAAGAAAACGTTAGATAAATATAATAACTACGAAATGTTTTTTGGTCTTTTATGACACAGAACCCTTCAGATGTTATTACAACCTTTAATAATACAAAAAGTCGATGGAACCCTCTGACTGTGCTCTACCGATTCCTATATGTAAGTATTATATAACTTCGTTTAGAAATGAAATGTACATTTCTATCGACTGAATTAATCACTGAACATTAATGTGACGACGGTAAACGGTTTCAGAACATTGCATCTAAAAAGATAAGATAACATTGTGAGAAAAACTAGAAACAAAAACGAGTAACACCTTCGACTGTTATGATGTCCACGCGTGTGACATAATAATATAAAACAAAGGCTATCCGAAGGCGACTCTGTTTAGTGGTCGGACCATTAATATCTAATAATAAATTGACATTGACTCATATTTGGGAGCGCTAATTGCCAGGAAGAGCCTCAAACTCTTCCTAAACACGTGACCCCTACCACTGACCTCTTGACGTACTAATTGATAAATCTCGAGCATCGGTCACAAAACAAACAACTCGCTTGAAACTCGACTAGAAATTAAAAAGTCTTAACAAAACAAAACACAATAGACCATGGCTTTAAATACGAGTGTTATTTTAAAGAAAGTATATTCAGAATTCAGATGTAACTAAAATGCACGGGCGTATATTCTCTTTGGGTTAACATTATTTCTTATAAACACTCTCACACGTCATACTGAAAGTAATTACTGTTAATACCTTTCCATTTTACTGTTATGATATTCGGTACTTTTCCTCCGGAACGTAATAAATTGGTTATTAGTTCATTTTGAGCAGTCAGACGCCGGCCGAGGCGAAAGTGTCGCAGGCTCCGGCCACCGCGAGCTAACGGTAGATCGCTGCACTGATGAACGTAACGGTGCAGCCGAACACCGATGGTACCACCCACCACCCACCACCCACCAGTCACCAGGCCCTGACGTACGTTCATACTAATTACACGGTCACTGCTGACGGTGTATGTGTGTCAGAACATTCTACTGACACGGATCGATCATTGATAAGACGTCATAGTATATTGAAGCTCTTCATGAAAAAACAATCCATGAAATAAATGATCTTAACTGTAGATCATAAGTAGTATTCATCTTTTATGTGAGTATGGGCGTCTCTCAAACGATGCTGTATTAACGAACGCCTCAAAAACAAAGTAATAACTAAACAAAAATATTAAAAAATTCAAAGGACGGCCGTGTTAAAGTTGCTCCCGTTCCTAGTAACTGTTTGATGATTGTTTTGTTTTTAATATAAACACGGCCACCGGAACGAAACACAAAGCTTTGAGCGACACAAAGTGAACCCGCTGTACAAACACGCGGTCGCTAATTACGACAGAATGAGATCAAACGACTCATTATTAATGACCCGACGGAGCTTTGACTTCAATTATAAAAAAACAGCTCATTACACATTCAGAGAGGTTAGTGAAACACACACAGAGAGTGATTAGACGTGGGCGGTGGGATGTACACAGAAGTGTGTCAGGGAACACAGCTGTGTGTAGTGAGTGTGGCTGACGGACTAACCTTGAACTAGAACACGACGAGGATTCAGGTCAACTGACAGACCGCTCCGTGGAAACGAGAACGGAAAAGAAATTACAAAAAAATGACTTTTATTATTTTTACATTTAATACTAGAAGACCTGGCGACCTTCGTATCGCCCTATAATCAAGAAATATCTATTACGTTTTTTTATTTATATTTTTGGAGTTTACCTGTGTTTTGAAGTGCGACAGAATGATTGACATATTAGTTAGTTGTCAAATCTAATGTCAAAAAAAAACGTTTGTATGGGAAATAGAAAATGGCTGTTTTTATGGTTTTCCCAGTTATGAATCAATTTTTTTCAGCTTTTATACCTTCCCTGAACCTCCACGAACATTTCAAGACTAAGATAAGATAAATCCGTTCAGCTGTTCTCGAGTTTTAGCGAGACTAAGGAACAGCAATCCATTTTTATATATATACTAGTTTTTGCCCGCGACTTCGTCCGCGTTTGTTTGGTCAAGAGTAATATATGTAGGTGTAGCTGACCAGGCGAACTCTATTCCGACTTAGAGGCCATAAATAATCAGGTTTTTCCTGTTTCAATCAAACAGAATGATTGACATATTAGTTAGTTGTCAAATCTAATGTCAAAAAAAACGTTTGCATGGGAAATAGAAAAGGGCTATTTTTAGGGTTTGCCCGGCAATTATTCCAATTTTTCTCACCTTTTATACCTTCCCTGAACCTCCACGAACATTTCAAGACTAAGATAAGATAAATCCGTTCAGCTATTCTCGAGTTTTAGCGAGACTAAGGAACAGCAATCCATTTTTATATATATAGAAGATAGAAGATAATAATAACGATCAGATATTCAAACTATGAACTTACAATAAAGATTTGAATTTAATATACAGAATAAAACTTACAACGCTTTTTAGTTCAAGTAAATGCGACGCGTGACACTGACATTGTACAGAACAGATCAGAGTAAATAATGACAATAACAGAAACGGAGATTAGAACGCAGCATCCGAGATACAGCGCTCAGTGAACACAGAGGGACCTTCATCATCATTATTACCTATTTGACATAAATATTATTCGTATTGAGACGTCTAGTGACCAACATTAAAGATGCTGACATTAAAATATAAAGATACGTCGTGTAATTTGTACATTTTATAACAGCTGTATTATAATTATTATTAATATATGTGTAAAAATTCAATGTTTCAACAAGCACGAGCGAAGTTTAAAAAGAGCAATATTAAGCACAACGTTTCGTATTCAAAGCATTGGCAAATATAAAACATACATTTATATATTATATATAATATAATGTATACATTAGTATACTTTCATAATATATTTCCATCATCAAATATGTACAACACACGCCACTCTCACTCCATACACTATGTACCATTATTATTATACATATAACGATTGTTTCAATCAGAAACTAACAAAAAACATCCAATTTAGTAGAACAACTAAGTGGGTGTGTCTGACTGCGAGGTATTTCCACAATGACATTGAAATTTAAACATTTACATGTTTTATATTTGGACAGGAATTTTATATATTTAAGACGACATCACGTACACTCCACATACTTGATATCAGACTTTATATAAAGACAGACCCATACGAGTGAATATAATCCATTTAATACATTTTGTAGAATGAGAAACTTACTTTTAAAGAATATCTTACTTTTACAAAACAACGTAAAATCCAAAAATATACATAACTGTTTCATCATAATGCGAAATTCCAACGAAGACGAAAAAAACAGTTACAAGATGTTAACACGTATGTTATGATTTTAGAGGAAGTCATCACGCCTGCTCCTGAGAGATGATTACCGGTTAATGTGTTCAACATTAATGTGAGTTAACGACGCTCGTTAATTATAATAAATAATGACGGACAAATAATATATATATTGATCATACACTATACAGAGAGTAAGAAACGGAGAGAGGTTCTTAAAGGATGTGTCGAATTATTACAGAAGAATATTCATACTAGTAACTAGTAAGATATTGAGAGTTATTACATTTGTATCAGCTATAACTGTAACCAAGTCGACAGCGTATCTTCAAATAATGATTCAGGTTCATCCGAGCACCTCGTAGTCTTTAATATCAATATTATACACACGACTTCTTATCATCATAAAATTTGATCAATTGTGAAATGTTTGTAATGACATATTCTCTCTGTAACTAATGCAACGTCTAATATAAACGTATATATGTATTTTAAACACTTATTTTCACCTCATTAGTAAAACATGCAGCAATATAATGTTCCCAGGAAAGAAATATACATACTGTATATATAATAATTTGATTATAATCAAAGAAGCCGAAAGCGGATGAAATCATTTTATATTTGAAGACAGTTTGACCTTAATAACCATTTATTTACACAGCGGGTTCTTAGCATGAAGAAACGTTAATCTGTTATCTGAATTAAATTCAATTGATTGAACAATTACCAACTAGTAAGTGAAGAGAAACACAATACACATTCCATATAGAGCAGCCGTGTCATCTGCACCTGCTGTATGAATCAATTATATCAATGGGTAAACAATATACGTTAGAGTGTACATGAACCTCTGACAATAGTCTCCTAGGCCGGTGCCAGTCCCCGCCGTGGCTGAGTCGCGTCATGTCGAAATGTCTTTCATAATGATTCATAACTCTGTAGTCTGTAAGGCATGAGTCAGTCTGACGAGTAACGGACGAGCGCGGCTCCGTGAACGATAGTTGAAGCCGTTCCAACACTCACGACGCTGGAGATGCATCTTAACCGCTTGTATAATGATCCACACGTCTATATAGCCTTATTGGTACGTATTAATATCGATGTATATAATATGAAGAGAGGTCCAATGTCACGAGTGGTAACACGAGACGCAGCGCGGATGTTTGTTCACTGACCGAGGAGAGGGCGCGCCCTCCCGGTGACATCACTCACGAGCTCGTAGGAGTTCTTGGTATAGCATCACAAACATTAAAACAACCAAAATATTACACATACGACGTCTCCATATAAGGAACGCTTATGTTCAAAACTGCAATGTTTTAACGAATTCTTAGTAAAAAAAAAAAACAACCTCATTCATTTACCTCAAACCAGTAAAATTATAAGAGTAAGAAAAATATTCAAGGAGAATTTGAAACATATGACCATTGAGACTCAGGAGACTAGATCTATAAAACATGTTCGATTGAATTATGTGTTTGATCGAGTATTGTATCCTCACAGATATGACGAGGGAAGTTGGTTGGTCACATAGTTGTAAATATAACTAAAGCCAGCAGCATCAGAACACTATTCCTGTCGTGAGTTGTGTTGAGACCCCATCCACGCTGACCAACCAAACCTCCAAGTGACGTCACAGTACCAGCCAGCTGTAGTGTCGCCACTCGCCACCATTAGCGGTTACCAAACACTTAAAATTCCTTGTATGAAATGATAAAACTTTTCCAATTATTTATGTATAATTGTTAGCACTATTTGTATTTGAGTGTGCGCCTGCCCCGGAGCGTGTATGGGCATACAAAAAACGACTTTGCTTATTCAAAGCGTGTGTGCAAGGAAAGTGGAAGAGCTCCTCGATCTACATGCTAGCTCTCGTACCTTAAACTGACCCTTATACCTAGCGCCATAGGGCTCGATACCGTCTGCACGGAGCCAGCAGTAGGTGCCATGTTAATGCATGGTCTAAATATAGACAGCGATGGACAGCGAAGACGCGACGGAAGACAACCTACCAGCTGGTCTTTATTATGGCTCTATTCCTTGTCATCACCTTCGTACAGCCTAATCTCCAACACTGGGCACAAAAATCACGAAACTGTCAAGATCTAGAGTTAACCAATTGTTAAAGATCACGAATGTTCCACGGGAACTGTTATAGAACTCAATTATATTATAATGATCTATGTAAGTGAGTCGACCGGTCCACGTTGAGTAACTCGAATCGTACATGGATATCGTCAGCATCTCGAATTTCTGCACATGAGGTAAAGATAATCATATAATTGTCGCGTTGCCAAACTCAGAGTGAACTAGACGTGATGGGTTGCGCAACCACGGTACTTTCACTTCCACAACCACGAGGCTTTACATCCAGGGTTTACTGATGGCATTACAAACGCGTCTCCACTTAACGGGATCCCTCGAATCTGACCACATTAGTTCGCGTCCCGTCTTTCCCTTTCGTTTGTGAATTAACTTAAAAACGTCAAATCTTCCTTAAATATAAATGAAACTTAATTAATAATCCCAACGTCATCTTCAAAGGAATTATTTTAAGAGTTCCCTCCACTTATCCCCATTAATACGATCCCGTGAACATCACAATAACTACAGTAAATATTGAACTGCTAAAAGCTCATTGAGCTTTGGCGCGTGCGAGTCAATGACCTGAGGTAAATTATGTCAGTCGTCTGTCGGAAGACGTCGCTGATGTAGACGAATGCAAATATTACATTCATAACAACATCGGGAAGTGAAACGCAACGAAAACATGTGTATGACTATCATAAACAATATCTGGATAGACTTTATGTAAAGAGTCGAAGAACAGCGAGTACGTTCATATATTCATATTTATTGTAATTCGAGGTCGTACATATGCTTCGTTGCATTTATTGTTGCCATCGCCGACACGGCGTGATTGCAATTCAGACGGCACGAGCGAGCATACGAGACTAGCGCCGACTGGCTCCCACCACCACCACCACCAGCTGAGCTTGGTCATACTTAGTTCGTAAAGTGAGAGACTCTATTCCCCTATATACCTTCTATCATAAACACCGCTACACTGTCCCATTCTTTACCCTATATATTATTCTTTACCAAACCAGCCTCTATGTATGTCCGCCTGTCCTGGCAGGGCTGCCAGTCAGCTAGCACGGACGCTCGCGATTCATTGAACGCGCGAACAATTACGTTGCGCAACGATTCTGTTACCGAAACTTGGTATTCACACGCCGGCCCGCGACCACCGAATGAATTATACCGATTTAATTGCATAAGCGATTTATAGTCCTTTGACTATGAGCACGGCACATACAAAGTTAAAAAATTTACTAAGGATTTCTTTTCGCTAAAACCGATTATACAGTTGGGACTGAACACAACAATATTTAAGAAAAATAATTATGAGAAACATCCTTTACAAAGGATTCAATCTAAAAATTTATCGAGAAAATATATAAGTAAATTAAAACATGAAGCATTTGAGATAGATAACATTGTTATATGTCTGATAATTCAACAAGTCTAATGATTTCTCTTCATCATACTAAGAGCTCCTGGACGTTTCCTTTCCTGGATGGGTCGAGTGTTCTCACAGTGGGGTCTGCGGGGCCTCTCACACACACTCGACTGTTGCTATTCTAGGACATCGGGATTATCTACATTGTTTAATATCTAGATTCCAACAGAATATTCAAGTCGCTTATATGTTGCAAATGAAAACAACTGAATCTTAACATCTTTAAATGTTCTCTGAATACTTTTAATATAATATTAAAAGACCATAAAAATGATTCAGTAACCGACCAAGATTGTATGTTTATTGTGTTCCTTGTTGTATATGTCCAATATATTTATAAACATTTCCTATGTGAGTGAGCCGCGACCACCGGCCACCGACATGGACAGTTCAGTGACGTCTTACCAATTGATTGAATTGAAACAACATTATTGATCAATGTTACTATGTTTGTGTATTAAATAAACTGACGGAACAAAAGTATAGCGCTATTTTTATCATTTTGATCATGATATCGACTCTAATATTGAATAAAACAAATAAAAGTCAAAGGACGTTACAGTCAGCTGTTTAATTTGACAAAGGCGTGACGAAGGCCTCATGATTATATTAATGTATCCGTGAAAACGCGACGAGACGCTGTCTCCAGGACGACAGACGAGCTGTTCTCGTGAACAGAACAACCACATGACTTCTCACTAACAATAAATATCACCGTTTCTATGGTAGGCCACTTAAATTACTGTATATTTAAATATATAATACGCGGATTCTTGTAACTCCTATGCGGTTCTTATACTACGTGATACATCCTCCTGGCCATCATGCCTCCAGCCGGCCGCTGCCGCTCGCCGTCACAACACTAACATCATACACAATACACCCGGCGGTGCTCATTAACGGAACGCATTCATTAAACTATTAAATTGTGTTTACGATTTCCTAATTCGCTTCGGGTTCGTAAATTACAATTCGCAAACAAAACCGACTCGAGTAACGAGACGGCGGCTCGTACACTCCGGTCTCCGAGACCGAGTAGGAGTTCAACAGTGAGCAGAGGAGGGCAGACTTACCGGGTCATGTGAGCAGCAGGAGCAGGAGGAGCGGCGTGTGTAAGTCACGGGTCACAGAACACACGGTGAGGAGACGGAGCGCTCAGGACGCGGGCGACATGGCGTGCGGGCGCGGCGAGAGCTCAGGCACGAGTGCGGTCTGCGGAGCGCGGCTCGGGGTCGGCCGGCCGGGGACGGGGCCCGGGGCTGCGGGGCGAGGCAGGCCTGCCGGGCCGCGCCGGGCCTGCCGGGCCGCGGAGGCCGAGTGCTCGGCGCGGAAACGGCCTTCCATGCAACGACCTGCATTTTGCGGATTTTGCAAACTCACTCATCGGTTATCGACGTGTGCCTTCATTATAATTGTTACTACAAGTTTTATTGAAATTATGATCAGCACCTTCTAGTTCTGTTACCACAAGTCCTTTTAAGAGAGAAACCCTATTATGATATTATTATTTTTTATATAACAAAACTATTTAAACGAAATGTCACTTTTTCTTTATACGAGTTTAAATTAAGGATAACGGACAAGAAAAAACGAAATAAAGACAATATGTATGAGAACAGAGAATTATCTAACAAATTAAATATACTACACAAGTAGGTATATTGAAAAAATAGGGACCACTTAATAAAATTAAAACACACACAATGGTTATATTTTAGAGTTATAATAGAAAACATATTAAAATACGTCTAGCAGAGGTCGAGAGGTAGGAGACATCGAAGGATGTGGAATGATAACCACCATGAAGACGGAACGAGTCGCGTCGGTAACTGATGCTGGCGGATCAGGTTACTGAGATGATTGTGGACGAGCGGGAAAATAATATGAACTGAACACAAGAGGAAAACATTATACAGACGCTATGAAAGTAATTAACACCTGGAAATGAAACGTGCAGTGACGCACGGCCTTTTGTTACATTAACTACACACGTGACAGTTATACTGCTGTAGTTTTAATTCATTTAACTAATACACGTATATCTTAATGATAATAAACATAAAGGATCTTTATGGTAACAGAAACAAACAACTGATTTATAAAATAGGTTAAATTAACTGAACCATGTACGTATAATGAAACACACAGACTAACACAATGACTGAACGATCGGTAAAACCTAACGCGACATATTACTACATTTGATACTAATATATGATTAAAAATGTTTTTCAAACTGTTTAGCAACATCCGGGGTCAGTTCGGATGAATAAATTATGTAATGAACAAATCTCAAACACATCAGAACACATTATTTCTACATTTATAATAATTAACATAAAAAACATACATTTTATGAGAACCGTTAAGGCGTCCACAAATATTCCACAAATATTATCAAGTATGGACGGACTGACGGACAGAAAAATTCCTCGAATATTTGATTCATATCTTATATTCACATTATATGAATATATTTTTATTAATTTTAATAAAAATAGCTCTAAGCGTCTATAGATATATCCCATACAATATCCTAATATTACAAAACACACGTTACCGTAAACCCAAATTCCTTAGAAATAAAGAATATTATTTATATACGTTTATCAAAATACAATACATATACATAAACAATAATAAATACGTAATGGTCTGTTGTAGAGTCAAGTGCGTGCTCGTGAACCATTCAGCCAGCCTCAGGAGTGTACACTCGACCCTCTGATCGACCGGCGACCAGCATCCAGCCTATAAACAAATGTTTTACATTATCCTCAACAAATAAAGAAAAACGATCATACTTATGTTCAATGAGATATTGATAATAATCTAACAACATTATAATATATTTCATATATATAAATTTAAATAATCTTTCTGTGTTTCTCTCGCCTTAAGTAAATGAAAATTATAAATCTAACAAAATGGCAATATACAGAGGATGAAAGGAAAAGAAATAATTAATATTGATAAAGGTATTGAAGGATGCGATTTGGAACAAAAAAAAAAATCTTTTATACTCTACAAAGAAAGTTCAGGAAAACTAAAAAATCAAAACATTAAAAAAAAAATATTAAACCAAAATGTCTTATCCATTCTATTAAATCATCTAGTGGAGACGTCCTCTTGAATGTCATAAGTCTAAGTATCAACTTTATAATACTTTTATAATTGTTCATTTAACGTTAAAGGGACCTAATTAAAATTTTGGTTATTAACCTGTAACCTGAGGAATATGGCGTTGCAATTACATATCAAGGAAGGTGCAAGTTTGATTCCTGTCGTGTTAATGAATTTTTCATGATATATTTTCCCATTCAATATTTTATTTAGACATCATTTCAACGTTACTTCAATGTTAACAATATAATTGCAAGAATATATCGACTAAAATTATCCATAGACTTTTTAACAAGAGTATCTACTATGTTTACGATATATACATATTATATATCTCCCAACTTCTCCTAGTTCTCTTACCAGCTCCAGTTTCCAGCTCTACACTCATCCTCATCTTTCTGACCATCACATCTCTTACACCTCAATCGAAGTACGTCAACCAGCATCGTCGTCATCAGCCTATCAGAGTCCACTGCTGAGCAAAGGTCTCTTTTTTTGGTTTGAGCATTAATCACCACGCTTGTTCAAGACGGGTTGGTTATTTCAAACTTATAATTGTGAAACTATAAGTCCATGTTTCCTCACGATGTTTTCCTTCACCCTATGTCAGTGGTGTCTAAATGATCTTAGAAAGTATAAATGAGTCGGAAAAATCACATTTTTACTCGCCAGAATCGAACCCGCGCCGTCGTGCACGAGGGTCGGGCCTTTAACCACTAGGCCACCACTGACCAGCATCAGTCATACATTAACCCGAATCTCGTCTTCTTCCAACATCACGAGGTTTTTTCGCCGAGTATTATTAATTAGCTGCGGCAATTAATCGGACATTGTTATCGAAAATCACTAAAACTGATTCATTTCACATTAAAATTGTACGCTTCATTAAAACCTAGAAATATAACTCACTACAACTAATATTGTTAACCTTAAGAACCGGAACTAATTGTTTCTATTATTATCATGATGATTATAAAAAAAATACGAAGAGATCTTAAATGTACCAACGTTAAATATAACTTATGGTAATAATTAATGATTTAAATTAAACTAATAGTTTTTGTATGTACTACGCAATTTTTTATTTTTGACTATAAACTACATACTCCTGACGTTTCGGTTATTTTTCATCAACCGTGATCACGGGCAGACGAGGTGTGAGTGTCTGTCAGTCGGTCTTGTTATTTTATCTCCTACCGCCATCGATTTCTTAATTTTCTGGCGTACCACTCTGGATACCGGCAGCATGCTCTCACGGTGTCTCGAGGTCCTGCGGTGTGGTCAGGGAAATGGGATTTTATATTTTTAAAAAAGGGATCCCAGGTCGGGAGTATGTAGTTTATGGTCAAAAATAAAAAATCGCGTATTAAATCCGAAAATATTAGTTTCATTTAAATGAGTACTCGCGAAAATCTTAGATCTCATAATATATAATGATTAATCTTTTAAAAAATTTTAGATGTAAGTCTTCCGAGTCGACCTGATGCAAAAGTATAAGTTGACATTTCAACATCATTATGTACTGAGATCATTATTAATTCTACGATCTTTTTACGATGACAAACTTACTAAAGTCTGTAAAGTTACACATGTTGTAATGGAAAAATTTTACTCGTGCCAGAATACATATTATCTTTTCTCTGTCGATAAGCTTCATAATTTTTTAATAATGTGTTTTTATTCAAACCAAAAACGCTTAACGAGAATTCTAGTAAGTGTATTGTGATAAAAGTTTTGTACAAAGAGCGTTGTCGAATTCGCTGTAATTCGTTTTCCAGGATTCGATAACTAATACAATGACTTAGTCTGTTTCAACAACACATTGTGGTTCAATTAATATATTGACGTGAGAGAGATATTCTGTTGACTTTATAAGATACTAGCTTTCCGCCCGCAGCTTCGCCCGCGTGGAGTTCGGTTATATCGCGTTTCCAAGAGAACCTTTCAAAAGTCTGGGATAAAAACTATCCTATGTTCTTTCTCAAGGTCAACTGTCTGTCAACTGAATGTCTGTACCAAATTTCATTAAAATCAGTTCAGTGGTTTAGGTGTGAAAGCGTAACAGACAGACAGACAGAGTTACTTTCGCATTTATAACATTAGTTGGGATACAGGGTGTTCAACACGTTACTAACGTAATCTCTTAATACTTAATGTGTGAGCATCATCAAGCTATTGTAATGACTTAAAGATGTGGTCTGTCCAATGATCTTAATAAATATCTTATTTAAATAAATCGTTCCACACAATTCATATCACTAGAGTGACATCATTTTCGATTAACTCTTCATTATTATAAAATAGAAACATATAGTTATTTGTAACTCATTTGAAAAGATGTGTGTTATTATGTTATGTTATGTTCGTATTGTGTACCAATGATCTGGTTTATTTTTATATCAGAGCTCTATACACCGAACTACAATCAAGTTTAGTATGCAATGACTTATTCATTGATTTGTTAATAATAATAAATAATTCAGTATTAAACATAATGATTTTTTTAATAATGAATTACTAAGAAGTAAGAACTGTGTCGATGTATTTGTCAAATTCAACCTGAGTACATATATCAATCAGTACATCAGAACTACACTACACGAGTCTCATGTTTGGGCTCGATTCTACTAAGCTGAAGTGTGATAACAAATACATATATGTAAAGAGTACATTTTAACTCGTTTATAAGACCAAAGGACAAACTGAACTGAAAGCGGACTGAAACTGTAACACGGGCTTCACTATATGTCCTGAGTGTGGTAGTATTATTATTAGTTTTCAAGTTACAATAAATGTGATATATAAAATGTTAATCTATTATAATAAATTAAGTCATTATTTTAAATAACAGCGACAGTATGTATAGTGAAAACAGTTCTTGTGTCCGAGCGTGTTGGATAGATAAATCTATTGATTTAATTTTTTTTGTTTCTATTATTATAATGTATATAATATATGTAAACCGTTTTTATAGTCTTGTGATTTATATAGAAAGTGAGAATGTTACATTTAAATATATTAATTTAATGATTTAAACCGACCAAACAAACCCAGATGTTTATTTGCAAAACCTACAATCATTTCAATAGTCACCCTTACTATACTAGCATCTCCAATACTGGAACTCCCTTGCAACAACTTGCGAAGAAATATAATGAATTAAAATATTTGTATAATTAAATGTTTGTATGAAGGAAAACATCGTGAGGAAACCTAGACTTATAATTTCAATATTATA